AAAAAAATATGTTTATCTGGCACAAGCCTAAAATTCAGTACAAAATATTGTATAAATTAACAACTGAACTAAAATTTAAGTAAGGTTACTATATAAAATGTAGATAGTTAAGTTATAAAATATAAAGGCACTTTTCATTACAAAAATTATACACTTTTCAGTATAGCATAATCACAATTTTTGGCAGCAACGCTATCCATCATAAAAAAAAAGCAGTAGTAGTAATATAGTGTAGTGAAAGAAAGACAATTTTTTACATCTTTTATAATTAACATGTTCTTCAAAATTACTTTATTTTTTACTTGAATTAAAATTAAGTAAAATTAAAAAAACCTTATTTTTAATATTGGCGATGAAAATTCTATAAATAAAATAATATGCATAATCTGATTCCCTAAAAAAATACATATTTTGATTTTTGTGGTATTGGTACTTTTTGATTTATGAAAGAAAATCTAAACCATTTTACTAAAAATTGGTTTTTAGACTTGTAGAGGAATTATTTTTAAAAACATTTTATTTTTAACTATGATTCTAAACACCAAGACGCTAATTTTGTGAGGCATTATGAGAATGATTTTATTCTAATATGCTTATACTAACTAATAATGAAAAGTGTATTTTTTTTGTGGTCACAATATATTTTAACATATTATTTTTTCATTTTTTAATATTCTTTTACTGAACTATATATACTCCACAAGTTTAGTTTATCTTAAGTTTTTTTTTTAATTTCAATTATATTTTGTTGATAATTACCAAATATATTATTTAGTATAAATAATATATAAGGGCAGCCGCATAGCGGAGTGTAATAAACCGGCAGTGTACTAACGTACGGTCGCTGATTTGAATATCGGCCACTGGTAGTTTGTTACTCCGGGCAGGTAGCTCGGGGAGAAATGGCCACCTGTACCTCGCTATGGGGCCAACTTGTTTAGTAGTGTTAGTTTGGCAGCCAGCTATAAGCCCAAAAATTCCAAATCTAAACCGTCTAAGCCGGTGGGAATATAATGGACGTTAAACATAAGAGAGGGATTATTTAGTATATATATTAGCATTTTACAGTTACCATAATAGTAAAAACCAAAATAAATTTAACATAATAAATTATATATAATTTATAAATATATTTATTTATATAGAATATTATACTATATAATATTCTAGCAAATCAATATAATATAATATCAAAACATCTTCTTCTTCTTCGGTAAACTCGGCCACTAGGACCATCCCGACATACATCCTTGCCTCCAATTTTCCCTATCCGATGCCTGTATCTTCCAATCTACCCCTCCTCCTAACGCTTTCACATCATTTCTTACTACGTCCTCCCATCTCAGACGTGGTCTTCCCAGCGGTCTTTTCCCAGTAGGGTTTTCTTCTAGTACTATGCGTATGAGTGGGTTTTGGCTACGCCAAGCATGCCCAGCCCACAGCAATCTTTTGTACTTTATTGTTTCGAGTATACTGGGTTTATGGAAGAGCGTTTCTAATTCATCGTTTTTTCTTATTCTCCACTCACCACTTAGCATGTCCTTTACTGGTCCAAAAATCTTTCTCAGTATTTTTCTTTCCAGAACTAAGAGTTTTCTTTCATCACTTTTCTTTAATGGCCATGTCTCAGCTCCATAGGTAATTACAGATCGTATTAATGTGATGTATAATTGTACTTTTAAATCCCTTGTAAGTGATCTTGATCCCAGTAATTTCGCAAGACCATAGAGGCATTTATTTCCTGACTGAATTCTTGCCCCTATTTCTATTTCAATTTCATTTCTCTCTGAAAGTATAGACCCTAGGTACTTGAATTGCTTAGTTCTTTAGAAATTTCGGTTGTTAATGTTAAGAGTTGGATATAGTCTTATGGTGTCTCGTCTTCCTACTACCATATATTCCGTTTTGTCCTCATTAATATGAAGTCCAACTTTCAGTGCTGCTTTCTCCAGCCGATTTAATAAAGATTTTAGTCCGTCTTGTGATTCCTCCATGATCACCAGATCATCTGCATAAGCCAGTAGTCCTATGGACGATTTCTGAAATTTGACTCCCTCTTGCGGTGTAATATTCATCTCCCTTATTACTTTCTCTACTACTATATTAAATAAGATTGGTGACATAGCAACTCCCTGTCTTAAACCTGATTTAACTGGTATTGGGTCTGTAGTTATGTTTCCAACCTTAACTTTGACAAATGTTTCCAAAATGCTTATCTCAACCAGTTTTATAAGCTTGTCCTGAAAGTGGAATTCCCTCAAGATATTGATTTCAAAACATCTATACATAAATAAAATTGAAGTGTCTGTGTCTGTTTGTCTAGGCTTATTTTCAAAATTAAGCCTCAGAACATATTGTGATCGTGGTTGACCTAAATTATATCACATTTGCGATATAATTTAGGTGGTATAAAATATAATTTATGTATGCAAATAATAATAATAATATACTATTTATTATTCCATAATTCTAATTATGTTTTAAAAACCTTAAGTATTTTTTTAGTTTTAGATTACTTCAAGTAGTTTATGTTTATATGATTGTTCGGACTAATCTTCAAAATGGCTGAACCGATTTTGAGGCAAATAAAGTCAAAGATAACAGCTAGTATATTAATAAAAAGAAGTCCTGTTTGGCACTGTACAGTAAATTTTCTCCACAATACAGAACATTGGTAACTACTATCATGATAGCTTTGATGCCTAGCTAAAAGGTTTTGTTTTTACAATGATGCGTTTTTATTTTTTATGTCTGGACCCACAATATCTTTTAAACAGATTTCTTCACGTAGCAACTTTAAATATCAGAAATCAGACTCAAGAAGAACTTTTTAGGACAAAAATTTGAAAAGTTACTCTTGGACCTTCAAAATTGAGAAAGGCAGCTAAAAAATTAACATATTTATTAACTTAAAATTACAGTACTTTAAATTAAATTTAAAAAAAAAAACAAATTAGTTCCAAATTGGTATAGAATTTTTTTTACATAATGTAATGTCAATAACCAAACAAATATCACGAATTCTTTCCTCTAGAAGGCTAGAAACTTTTTCTTTATTTCTCATTTTCAAGCTAAGTTTATACCTTTAGTTCTGAAAATTAGACTGAAGGTAAATCTAGAGTGAGGCTGTAATATATACAATTATCTTTAAAATCTGTAGTGAAACTTTTTTTTTTAATTAAGGAAAAAAAAATGGGGGGGGGGGAATAACATTTATGATTGTAGAACATTTCTTAATTGCTATATTACAGTAAATCAACAGTTAACTGGTATCCGAAAAATATTTTCATTATGTTGTTATTTATGATATATGGGTAACTATGGTGACAAATTACTGTAGACAGACGAGCAACACTTAATTGTATCCATCCTAATACTAAATACACGCATCAAAAAGTTTACTTGAAGGTTATTTTATCACTTTTAGTTAAAAAAGCTCCTACAGATCTGTGTCCTTCCTCATTCCAATATTCTCTGTTAATATTATGCCAGGTCCACGCAGAGCGAACAATATTAAAACAAAACAAAAACACAATGTTTTTTGACAATTTCCAATTTTGTTTTTTTCAAATATTTACTCTAATAATAAAAAATTAATTATATTTAAAAAAATAAGCTATCTACATAAGTCATAACACATGTACAATTTTTATTTTAACACCTTCAATATTTTTAAACATGGACATGTTTTTTGGCCAGAATTTGTGACTAATTGTTTGTATGAAATAAGACTTGTTGGCCGAGTCGGTTGTGTTTCTCACGACCAGTTCTATCCCCAACCTATTATTCTCTAATTATTAACTCTCTTATCAATATTAACATTGTAAACATTATAAACACAGTGGATTGTGTTTCATTAATTACAAGACATTTATTTAGGCAGGTCATCTAGTATATCAAGGAATAAACAAAAACATACCTATGATTTACTGTTATTCCGCGTAGCGAAGAAAATGAGATTTTTTTGTTAAATTGGTTTTTGTATTTTATTAAAATGTTATCAGATAGAATTTTAAGAAGCAATAGTAATATTTAACAATCAGTTATCATTTTATAAATGTCTGAATGATCCTATCAATTTTGAAAAATTGTGTGTAGGTTTACCCACATAACTTAGGGTGTGGTTGTTCTAAGCATTAACTATTGTTGTACAAAAAATTTAATTTTTCTTTAAAAATATAAAAATAGCATATAATAAGTTATGTTAATATGATTTATTTTTTATTTGAATTATACTTCATAATACAAGTCTAAATTTGTTATATTAACTATATATTAGTTATAACATATACAATAGAACTTGTATAGTTTTAATCTTCATTTCTCAATTTTATGTCGAAATGTAGAAATTAAATCAAATTAAAAGAAGTATTCCTCGTGGAAATTTGTTTATTATTAAGTAGGTATTATTACAATTTCAAAAAACAGTATCTTCTCAGCTACGCATTGGAGTTAAAATAAAACAAGTATCGGTGTAATTACCCACCTATTATCAGATACTGATTTGTGTTCAACAAACAAAATATTATTTATTTGTGTAGTGTGTACATGAACAGCTGCAAGACAACATTAGGATAAATTAATTACCTATTATAAATCTGAAAATATTGTTAGTTATCTAATTAATCTCATATTTTATAAATAAACTTCTAAATGCTTCTAGTATAGAAAAAATGTATTCTAATTAGTAAACTAGGAATAAAGTAAAAATATACAATTTATACGGCCACTATCTAAAAATGTGCAATAGAATGTATTTAATATACAAGATGGTGTTTATCCAAATCATCCTTTGTTCCGCTTTTTAGCGGGAAAACTGTTACAATTTATAAGTTCAGGAAATACCAAGTGTTATAACTGCATAGTATATGTTTAATAAAAAACGTGACGGTTTATTCATACATACGTAAACCTGGTTATAACGTTTATTGTCTGTTAAAAAGTAATTATCCCTTAAAAAAAAAAATTTCGAAATTAAATAAACGTGTTTTATTTCTTACCTGCTTGTGTTTTTCTTAATATCGCCAATGCCAACGTTGAAGTTTGTAGAAGTCATTTTTATATTCGTTTTACTAATAGATTGTTTAGAATGATAATTTATTTAACTGGTTTATAAAGTGAACAGGAGCGTTGGTCGACCAAATTAAAAAATACTAAAAAGCTTAAAGCAATAACTATAAAATATTACCTTTTACCAAATACCAACGGCCAACAGACCAACCCAGTAGTTAGTAGTCTGCTCCAACTAATCTGAGCAATGGCCAATCACATCATTCATCGGCATCGGTTCACCGATCCTTGCTACCACGGTTAGCCAGTTATAAGTTATCAACCGTGGTCAATAATCTAGTTAGCACTGCACAGGCTATGCCAGTTGCCCCCATTAGCCAATGATAATCGCGCACAGAATAAAGCAATCAGAATGGGCACTGATAACAATTACACAGGCAGCATTGAGCATAATATGCCGCCCGCGAAATCAGTCGGCCATTTTCTCGAAGAACAAATCAGTGTATTTTTATATATATATACGTGTGTATATTTATTCACATATCCAAACATAAAAAATGATAGCATATTTTGTCCTCCAAAAACATGGCGGGTTGATTCTGTGATATCAAAGAAGTGTTCAGGGCCCGATTGTACATAATTCCGCAAAAACAAAACGTCGGACACTGATCAGTCCCTGCATATCTAGGTTTCCCTTCTGGTTATTCAGTGATACTTCTAAGTACTAACCCTAAACCCCGTGTTAATTTTAATCAGTGTTCGGGCCTCGAGGTTTGGGACCTAGTAAAAACATTGGCTTTGTTCGTTATGAAAAAAAAGTATACGCTATAATTAGTGTAGTGTAAGGGGTGTGATCAGGTGTGGTATTTCAAAACAAATGTTTTTGGTGTAGATCATTGATTCTAGAACAAACGGTCGGTGTGAAAAAAAGTGTACACTGACACAACACTTTTTAAAACAAACAGCGTATACGACTACACTATTTTAAAACGAACTAATCTATTGAATAAACACTAATTATATTTAAATATTTACATCTGTAATATGTAATTTAATATTGTCTGTGGTATAAGTACTACCATTGATTATAAATAATAAGCGTATTTACGCGGTGGTACCGAAAGCAAACACGTTTATTGTTTGTGCTTATGTTTGAAAAGGATAGTTTGCTTACCGCAAAAATTATTTTGCATTATGATAGGTACCAAACATTACAAACTGCTGGAAGTTATTTACTGATAAGAGCAAACATTTTATTAAACAGTACAGTTTCGACATTAAAACACCGCTAAAATGGTTAACAGCAAACCGTTTGCTTTCGGTACCTTCGCGAAATACGCTTAAATCCTAATGGTTCTGTGAACTGTGATGTGAATGAAGTCTAATGAATGTAGATGAAGTCTGATGTAAATGATCCCAGCTTTTCAAAATATTTGATATCCCGCGCATGCGCAATAGTAATGCCGTTAGGTTGTGTCGAATCTGGATGGCGGCATGGTTGAAATATATAGGTAATTGCACATCGTCTCGAATTGTTATCTTCAGAAATAAAATGACAGCGTAACGAGATTTCAATTTTACTATATACTTTACTACTACTGTCCGTTATGTTGACATATTTGTTTTATCATCGAATATTTTCGATTTTTTATAATTTAAAGAATTAGGGGTATATGTGCAATAACCTTGTATATTTCGATCATGAATAGCGGAACATCTTATATTCTTATCAGTAACACAGGCTATATGATATTATCTATTCTGTGATATTAAAGCCTGTGTCAACTGTGAAGTGTGAACCGCCAGTACTCACAGCTCACTACTTATTATAATAAGTAATCGGTATAACTGTAGTGTACAAATTTTCAGCACGGAAGAGATTTTTATAAGAATTTGTACTCGAGTGTCCATTAGTATTTAGTAATTAGTGATTATTGGATACTGATTTGTCCGTAGTCGAGTAGTAATTTCTACATTCTAGCCGATTTAGTTATAATATTGTTATATTTTATGAATAGCCTAATTATTGATTTTATTATAATAATAATAATAATATATTATAAAATCATTAGCATCTTAAATTTAAACAATACAAGTTTTCTTTATCTAATTTATTAAATTATATGATTACTATTATGGATCAAACAAGACCCATTGAAGAATTAATTACATGCTTTAGGTATTTACTGTAATTTTTTTTTTAATTGTCTGTGAGAACTGCTGAAGCTATAAATTTATGATTTGTAAAACTAGGTCCAATAGTACAGTTGATGACATTATTGAAAAATTAGAGGGGTGGAAAAGAAATGATCACAATATACATGAAATATCTAAAGATCAAATTTTACAAAAACTTTTATCGCGCTCTGAGAATCCAGAGATGTTGAAAGAAAAGCTAAAGAGCATGGGGTAAGTAATTTTATAAAACTATAAATATTATAATTTGTAATTAAAAACATACATCATACTAAGTAAAGCTGGATCTAAATTTAAGTAATGGGATTTGAAGGTAATATTTTCTGTTTATTTAATAGCGCAGTTTAAAAATTTATACCTAATTTGTTGCAACGTATCAAACAATCTACAGATACGATAAGGAATTTAAAAACAAATGCCTTAAAATCACTTTCCTATTTTTTTTCATTCTTAACATCCATTTACTAATATTTCTTATTTCTCTACCTATCATTCATTATATATCCTATCTATTGGAACGAAGTTCCTTATTGTATTATTTTACTTCTCGTTAATCTAGTCCTTTCAATAATTATTTTTTTAAATCAAAGCAACCGACAATTATTAACTATACATAAAAAATTTGTTTGTTTAATTTAAGACTAATAGGAGGCAAAATTATACTAATAACTTTCTAAATACATTTTTGGAGGAGCATAGCCTCCTACTGCTGTCCCTTGGTAGTATAACACTTATAATTAATATTATAAAAAACAAAGTATTCTCTCTTCTTTTAGGAAAGTAAAACTGGTAGATAAATATATGCATTTAATTCAAGAAGTAAGTGAAGACAAAAAGTTAACTGCATTTTTAGAAAAAAGATATAGAGAATATGAACGTGATTTATCTTGTTCTGACCATGTGCATTATAAAGATAAAATTGAGGTAAATAAAATATTTGTTAAAAATAATAAACAACTTGTTATGTGTTATGTTATATTATTTTAGATAATTAATGAATATCAAAAACAACAGGAACTTAAAACCAAAGATAAAAAAATAACAAAAAGTAATGTATATTATGTATGTCCTTTATGGAAAAACGTAAGAAAATACCAAGCCCTAGATTACTTTGATATTATTATGGCATCTACACATTTTGGTGAGTTATATTTTTTTACAACAAAGTATTCAACAATGTTTTGACAGTGTCACTAAAAACAAAACAAAATTTCAATTATGAATTAATTAACTTAGTGTATCTGTTATTTTGAGATTTTTCAAAAAGTTGTGGTCCTAGAATGTTTTCTGCTTAGGGCTAGATGGAAAAAAATATGTCAACTTGTATACTTCAAATATTATTTGTATTTGTGTTATCTATATTGTAAATAATAAGTCAATCATGTTAACCTCAGGTGCACAGCATCTTTAAGTAATATAACATTTGTGGATAACATCTATAATTTATTTATTTTTTAAAAATAACATCTATAATTAATTTTTTTTTTTTAAATGAAGGAGTATTTGGTGCTCACTATAGTCAGTTCAACACTCGGTCATGAGCGCTCTATTTGCTGGGCAAGAAATCGTCTGGTAAAAAAGAGCTCCTTCCAGCAGCAGACTGACGACCCGTTCTGTATAGCGAATTTGTTTAGAAACCATCTTATGATAACGGCATTGGGCCTTTAGGCCCATTTAGCTACATGATAATGATGAAGAATAAATCAAATTATTAAATAGTGATGACAATACTTACCTAAAAAAAAAAATGTTGGCTTTTGTACAGAAAAGAAATACTATTCATTTAAAGTATAATTTATTTTTTATTTTTTACCTCCAACATTTTAAATTACATTTACATGAAGTTTTTTTGTACATAATTTATAAATATTGATATATTATTCAGTTTCTCAATAGTGATTCCTTAAAATATGAAATGTAACATTTAAATATTGTGGCGTGTATCTGAGGTTAACAATATTGACTTAATATTTACAATAGAGGTAAGAAGTTCTGAAATGTTTACCGCTGGTTTCAGGTTTTACATTTTTTTTTTTTTGTGGGTTAAAAACATTTAAATAAAGTGTAATGTTGTTTTAAATGTAAGATATTGATTTTTCACTAGCATGGATAGTTATTAATTTACAACAGGAAAAATTAGGGTATATTTTTTTCCATTGAGTGAAAAAGCAGAAATTTCCCATGGGCACAATTTTTCAAATAATTTCAATATATATTATGTAATTATTCAGAATTAGTTTTCCTAGAGAAGGCTAGCAAAAAAAATCAAATTTTAGGTTGGATTATAGTACTCTAAATTAACCTTCTGGCTCTGCTGTCATATACTTTTTTTGGTCTACCGTCAAATGGCTACGGTATGTAGGTCTACTACGATAAACAGCCTACTAGTAACAAAATGTGTAATATATAAAATTTCAACAAATAAAATATTTTAATTAAATAAATACAATTTTAATAATATTTACCATTAAAAAAAAAAAATGTTTGTTCCTCCTCTTCGACAGTTTCAGGGTGATTTATTTTGAGGCGATAACTTTTACCTCTCTAATATATATGTATTTCATTATTTTTCTTGTATTCTAGGTAATTTTGAACCATGTTTTGTACTTGAACATGATTAATTAGTTAGAAAATTCGAGTTGTAATGTGGCCAGCTCTTAATTGGGTTATAAGAATATTATTATCTCTTTCATCACGCTGAATATTTTGAAGAAATTGCCAAACGTTAGCATGATGTGTTTGAACTATTCTTTGAAATTTAGAGTGCCATCCTTCAATCTTATTTTTTGTTATCAGATCTAAGTAGAACGCTTTGGTAAATTCCATGTTTTTGATGGATAATAGTGTCGTATCTTCTCCGCCCTCTAGCTTGGCGGCCTTTGACATACACTCACTTAATCTAGTCATAAATCTCAAGGACATTTTCAAAAATGTCTATATTATCTTCCATAGGTACAAACTATATTGCCATAAGTTTCCTAATATTATTCTTAATATTTACATTGTTTCTATCATCATACTATAATCATACTACTTATTTCTATCATCTTAGTCTAGAATTTAATACTTTTCTCCGTATTGCTTCACTGGAATGAAATAACCATCCTTTAATAGCAGTATTAGGGAAAATTTCCCGAGCTGTGTTCTTCACTGTTTGTTGAGAATCTAGTATAATGCTTATATTTTGCAACACTTCATTTATTATACTAGATATGAGATTTTCTGCTACAAAACCAATATACTTATTTCCTGTGTCAAATTTCTTGAATTTGTAATTTATGTCAAATTACATATAATTCATATAAATTATCGCTAATACATTCGATTACAATTGCGAATTATGCTTCTAAAATGATTAACAACATTTTTCAATATTAAAATATTTTTCCTTTTGTTATTTATTTTAAAATCATATTTTAACAAAACTATACTACATGGTTGTCATGTAGTTTCGTTTACATATATAACATAATAAAACATTTTTGAATGGGCTAAATAATATATTTTTTTAGTTGACACTATTATACTAGCATATTTTTTGTTGAACCATTTTGTGCAATAGACAATTTTTATCTAGATTATTTTTATTGGACAAAAAGACCTTGGAATAATCTGTTATGTGCTAAACCTGATTTTTCAGGATACACAAAACCCTAACCATAAGTGTAGTAGACGTAGGCGCAACTAGACCTACATTTTAGGGGGTGCTAAAACTAAGTATACCTGACTAATCATAATTCTTACCTTCAATTTTCAAACTATTAGATATAATTTAAAATATTTGAAAACAAAAATATTCTAAAAAACAAATTTCAACAGAGTATGAACATTATTAAAATTTTATGCGTACAAATCAAGAATTGGGGCTTGAATTTTTGGGTGTGCTAATTTTGAGTCTGGAGGTGCTTAAGTCCATTTTGCATCCCCCTAGTACTACCTATGGTAGTAGATAATACATAAAAGGTTTTATTTTTATTTTTTATTTATTCTATAAAATGAAGATAGAACAAGAGATTTTTATCATATTATAGCTAATTTTTTGCTAAATCCAGGGGTACCAAAACCTCAAAATTGTAAATCTGGTACTTTTTCTGTGCCAATGACATTGTGTTATAATCACACTATATTTCATAATTGCAATGTGTAATTCATAATTTTATATATTTTAGATCAACCACCCATTGAACAGAAATTTATAATTAATGATATTTTATCTTGCCTCCAAGGTTTTCATGGACAATTTATCAGTCTTGTCAAGCATGATACAAAAATCAACTTTAAAATTAATGAGTCTATTGGTTTGTATATGACTTTTTTATTATTCAAATTATTTTATTTTATTATTGCTGAATCTATACTATACCCATGAATTAATATTACACTTATTAAATTTTTTTTTGCTAGGTCTTGAATATGAGTGTTTAATACCAAAAATTTTAAGACTAGCTTCAGCATATGCTATTATTTGCCGATTTTGTGAAGAAAACCGACAAAGTCACAATGGATATGTTAACCAAGCTTTAGCTTGCTATTTAGAGAAATATATACGTGACTACCTTGTAAGTTAATCAAAATATGTTTCATTACATCATGGCATACCTTATTGACATGAAACGTAAATTTATACTGTTTTTATTTTTAATAGGACTAAAATACTTATTACAAATCTTTCCGTATATCTCTTTTCTCTGTGTACATATCACATTCACCCACTTCTTTCTCAATCTATCACTAACTGCTACGGCTGCTACCAATCAAATATATATATTAATAAAAACCCGGTTATATCATCCTTGCAGCTCGACCATAGCACATCTTGCCTTATCGAATAAAAACTAAAATTCAACACAGCTATTTTATTGAGTTAAATTAATTTGAATTAAAAATGTTACTTTTATTCTTATAAATATATTATATATTTTTAACATTTTCCAATTTTGTTTTACTATTTCATGATAGTCTGTTCTTCCAATATGCCCAAACCATCTCATCCTGCTTACTAATTTTCTTGGCTATTGACGCAACTCCTAAACATTCTCTAACAAAACTACACTAGTCACTTCACACGTCCATGTCAGCCACTTCCATTTTACTTTTATGTTTCATATTTAGTACCCAGCACTCACCTCCATATACTATTGATGGTCTTTTACTGCTGTATTATTGTTAAATTAAGAATCATCAGCAAAAAATTTTTTAATTTTAAAATGTAATGTATATTTGTATTTACTTTTTAAAGTACCCTATATTAACCCTACTTTACCATTATAAAACCCTGCTAAAAAATCTATTTATTAATAATTTCAAAAAATGTTTAATGTGTTAACTTAAAATATATACTCGTTTTTTATTTTTTAGAATTTCATTATTTCACTTGAAAATCAACACCAAAATGGGGATCTCACTCTACAATTACTGTTTTCTGCTGCAGAAACACAATTTTCTAAAATAGAATTTATAGCACATATTATTTCAATAATAACTGAAGTACTATTCTGTATTATTAATTTTTTTACTTCCTTTTATTATTATTTTTTTTTTCTGAATAGGGGAAAAAAATAGGTGGACAGACACTTTCAGTATTGCATGAAAAAATGCTAGAATGTTGTGCAGATGAATTACTAAAAAATCTTTTGGAAGGAATGGCTCAAGTATCTACTATTCCTTTTTTTGATTCTTTAGAAAAATGGATCTTTAAAGGACAAGTGTTTGATCCATGTGATGAGGTACTATAAGTCACAACATGTTTTTTCTTAAATTGTTTTATTATAAAATATGAATTCTATTAGTTTATGATAAAAAGTGGTAATTTAACACTCAGTGATGATACAGAAAAATACTGGAATAAATGTTATGCTATAAAGCATGAATTTGTTCCTTCTTATTTGGAAAAGTACAAAGAGATTATTCTCAGAACTGGAAAATATTTAAATGCTCTATATCATTGTAGTAAGTCAATATCGTGCTTAAGTTCCTTACCTAATTATAATTGCAAACATGTTTTTTTTTATTCTGTTTAGATGTATCTGAAAAATCTAATTTGGTTTATAAATCTGACAATGATGAAAAACTAGTGTACTCTTTGTGGTGTTCAACAAATTATTTACAAATTGTAAATAATGCTTATATGTTTGCCAGTACTAGTCTATTAAATATGCTGCTGAATGATTATGATCTTATGAATAGATTAAAGTAAGCTTGTATCAACAATTAATTGATCATAACATCCAAAAACTTTTCTTTCATTTTGTATGTAAAACATTGAAAAACAGGGTAGTGATAGGGTGTGAAATTTCTAAATTATTATATATTTTTGTTTAAAAACACATATAAAAATGATTTTAACTGCTAGTGTTTTTAATTTTATTTGTATTTTTCACTATATATGTAACAATTCATCTGATAATATCAAAAGGGTTATGAATCTGTGCTAGTTAATTTTCTGAAATAAAACTCCCATCTGATTACTAAAAAATTGTTTAACAAATGACTGGCTTCAATATTTCTTGTAACTCTTAGAAGTAGTTTACAAAAATGTTAGTTGTACATTTTATTTCCTTAAAGCATAACAAACAATACCTATTAAGAGGCCATAATTTCGCTCAACGGTTATCCAGGTGACACTCAACATCTGAAGTTAAGCTGTATTTGTCATTGCTTGGTCTACCCGTGGTTATTAGTGGCAACCTATGCCAAATCCCCTATTGACATCACTTCCAACCTAAACATACAAAAACCCATCCAACAAAATACATAAGCTATCAAATTAATAGACATAGCTACAAAAGCTAAAATTAAAAAAAAAAATCCTTTTAATTTAATTTGATACAATTTTATGTAATGACTGACAATATATGACAAATCTAATCTAGGGCAAACAACAATTGTACAATTTAATTTAAAAAAAAGTTTTAAAATATGAATTTTTAAACTAAAAATTATGAAATGACAGTCCAAAATACTAAATAATGTAAAATATTTTAACTTTACTATGCTTATTGTTACTAAGTGTTACTATGTGTTACTACTGCTTTAACTAAATAAGTGACACAAATAACTGTTTATATAAATTATTTTTATTTTTTAGATCAATTAAACGTTACTTTTTATTAGAACAAGGAGATTTTGTAGTACATCTATTAGACGTTTGTGATGATGAATTTAAAAAACCAACAGATGATATTGTGTACAATAGATTGGAATCATTATTAGACATTTGTTTACGAGTGAACGTAGGTTGCATTGATCAATACAAGGATGACATTAAAATGGAATTGAAGAAAGATCCACTTAGTTTTCAAATATTTAAAATTTTAGCCATTCAAACTGAAAAGGAAAAAGGTCATACATGAAAAAATGATACTAATTTTAAAATAGTTGTATATTAAAATAGTTAAATAATATGTAAGGAGAACGGAAAGTGCTATCTATTTAGGGGCTAAAGATATGCAATACTCAACTAATATTGATTTAGAAGGAATTTATTATATATGACAATTTATTTAATGATAAGTCACTATAAATTTGAGCTTTGAAAATTGTTATTGAATCCTAAGGAATAATTTTCTTGGAAAGTATAAAAAAATTATTGAAAAAACAAAAATTTATGAAAATTTAAAGTTTATGGATTTTGTATTACATAAAACAAATTTCTGCAAAGACAAACATCTTAGAAAGTTACAGCTTAAAAAATGTAATTGCTGCAAGTTCTGGTCACTAGCATGGGAAATTGTTTGAATAAATAGTTTTATTTGTGTAAATTATTTGATAATACATCACTGAATCAGATTTAAATTTGTTTCATTTATTAGAAAGTTTTAAACTAAAACTAAAAGCCTATTTTTTAAGTATAATTTTATTAAAAAATAAATTTGGTATATTATAAAAATAGTTAAAATATAAATGTTAAACAAACATTTAAATCTTATTAATTAAAAAAATATATATATATATATATTGCTCGAAAGTGTGCGTTTTAGTATTTATTTGTATGAAATTTTACTCTTTCCGTTCTACTAAAATTCCACTACGCATCACTATTTTGTATATTGAAATATAAACAATTTTTTTTGTATTTTATAGATTACATTAACTTCCAACCGTCCTCAAACTTATTAGGAATACAGTCATTTTGTTTAGGATTGACTACTCAATGGCCAGTATCTTTAATATTTAATGAAAATGTTATATCTAATTACCAAATGTTGTTCCGCTTACTGTTGTTGTGCAAAAATGTGGAACGTCAATTATTAAAGTATTATGTAAAAATAAAAAATAAACATAATATTATTTATTAATATACTATTTTATTTTCTTTAAGAGTTTGGCTTGGCGATAAACGACTAAAAAAAGTGTCTTTTTCATCTTTAACCTATAAAAAAACATTTAATTTAAGACAAAATATGTTATTATTTGTACAAAATCTTGAATACTACATGTTTGAAGAAGTTATCGAAACACAGTGGCAATCATTTATCTCCGCTATTCAATTTAATGTAAAAATTAAATTATAATTAATTTTAATTAATATTACTAATTCTGATATTTTATTTAGGTGAAAAATGTTGACGAGTTATTAGATGAACAACAAAAATTTCTTAATCAATGCTTAAAGAATTGTATGGTGACCAACCCAGATCTCATGAAAAGCAGCAGATATCTGTTAGAACTGTGCATGGAATTCAGTGATTATATATTAGAAGTAATGTTTGATTACATGTTTTTTATTTTTGTGTCAGAAATTTAGTACTAGTTCACAATATTAAATTAAAATTAAAAAGTACTGAAAATCACTATTTTATATTACTCTAAAAAACAAATGTGTTTATATTTTATGTATAATATAATACACACAGCAGACGTTAGGTCCACATGTATTACGATTGTATGAGGGACAAGTGGTAAGTCGGCAGTGTTTTAGCGCTCACTGTCCCCAGATTGTCTCTCGGCTATAGGTAGTTCCTCTCTTTCGGCAAGCAACTTTCTAAAGAGAGAGACTACCTTCCTCCTTATAGGAAACCAAACTAACCCATAAAACCTACAATCAGTCGATAAAGCTATTCACTATAAATAATATGAATATTAATTATGTTGGTACATTTACATAGGTTCAAGTCACCCATGTAAATGTAAATTTAAAAAGTCTTTCTCTCATGGTGTTCAACCCTTAAGGTTGGTTTTGCACTTGGACATGCGCTCTCCACTCTTCCCTGTTCACAGCTAACCACTTCAGTTCAGTGTAGCTTGATAGTCTAGCATCGGAAATCATTTGTTTGACAATTGAAGTTCTTGGACGCCCTTGGCCTTTTTTACCTTCCATTTTCCCTTCTATTATTCTGTAGATTAGTTCATTTTCGTGCCTCAATATGTGACCAATCATGTTCCATCGTCTTGCTCTGATGGTTTTGAGTATCTCTCTGCCTTCATCTATTTCACTGAATATGCTTTCATTGGTATGGTGTTCTATCCAACTCACTCTCACCATCCTTCTCCAACACCACATTTCAAAGCTTTCGAGTGTTCGTTGTTCTGCCTTATTTAGTATCCATGTTTCGCAGCCATATAGTGCCACACTCCATACATACGCTTTTATGAAGCATTTCCTCACTCTAATACTCATGCTATTGGAGCATAACAAATTTTTCTTATTCATAAATGCTAACTTCGCCTGTGCGATTCTGGATCTTACTTCCATGACGCATATTCCATCTTAGTTGATTAAACTGCCTAGGTATTTAAAATGTTGAATAAATCTTTATAAAAATAAAATTGTATAATTGATAAATAAATAACAGTTTTTTATATATTGACCACTAAACATAGGCACTTTTCAAATAAGCAACATAATTTATGTTTCAGCTACCAAAAAGTAGAAGTAGTTCAAGACTTGACTTTGAAAAAAACATACAAATATTAGAAAACAAATTTACAGCTGCAATGATTGATCTTTTAAAATGTATACGAATCATGAGTCAAATGAATAGTGGTAATATAATCTGCAACTTTTTATACAGGTAAGAAAACATTTTTTTTGTGATGATACTGATAAATATTAGTTATAATATAATTTGAAAAAACACGTAGTATTACTTTCAATACTTTTTTAATATTATGTTATAGTACTATAGTAATGGGGATTAGTAATATTATTATTATTTTTGTTGCCATTTTTCTTTTATTTAGTTGAACTATGCATTGATATATGTTAGTTATATATGCATGTTTTATTAATTATCTTAAAAAAGTATTTTTATTTTAGAATGGATTTCAATGGAATGTACACTGAAGAAATACAAATGGACAATTCAACATGTTTTTCATAGAACATTATTTTCCTCATTACAATATTTCTGATTTACAAAAATCAAAAACATTATTTTTAATTGCTCTCTAATCGTTGTAATACTATGAATTAAATATAATACTATCACTAATAATATTAATAAATAATAACTAGTATAAGATTTTTATTTACAAATATACCTATGTATTTATATATTTATAATTGCATGAACCCATATATTTAATTCTTAATTAGCCCACAAGCTCTCACACAGTACTTTTGTGAGGGGTGTGTCTTGGAGTGTTGTGATAATCCAACTTTGACATCTTTACTGCTGTGTCATACACATTATTTTCTTAAAACTACAAATAAGTTTCATACTGGTTTTGCTGTGATTCAACAAAGTATGAACCATTAATAACAGCATCCTTCTCTAAAAACAAATTACCTTAGTTAAGTGACATACAATAATTAAATGATTATTGTTTGAGATGATAATTTGATTTATGTTTTGTTAGAAACGTATTGTGAAAGAAATAATAAAACAATTAATGAATAATCGCAAGGGAACCTAATTTGCTAAAGTACAATTATGTGAAATTTGTTTTAAAAACTTAATTAAAACTCGTTTCCAACAAAATCTACATCTTTGAAAATTATTTATATCTCTATTTATTATTAAATAAACATTATTTCAAATACAACAATACTTTTAATTAAATATTATTAACTGCACAGTAGATGTCTGTTTGTATCACAAAAAAATTAAGTTTATTATAAATTTACTAAAAATTTCCTTTTTTAGTATTTTCCAGAGCTCTATCAACTTTTAAAACTTAAATGGTAACATAATATACTTATTATATCAACCTTATAAATCAAAAACAATTAGACTGGTCAATAACCAGTTTTAAGTTCCTAAGTTTAAAAAATATAATGGGAGGAAGAGTGGAGTGTAGTATTATTTTTATCTGTGCGCATTACTCTACCGTCCTCTCCCTCTCGTTCTTATTCTAAACTCTAATAACTTTTCAGCCAAATTATTCTTAATTTAATAAGTAATTAACTATATACATTACCTCTTAATTTTAAAAGTTAGGCGAGCTCTGGAATTAATTAAAAAATGATAAAATTGCAATATTGTAAAATAACCCAACTAAATTGTCTTCAAAAAGGAAAACTAAAAAATTGCAATTATTTCAAGAGAAAATTAGTGTCTTTAGCCTTGACTCTTATTTACAAATTTTAATGTTATGTTGTAACAATAAAAACAATATAAACAACATGTAAATGATAACAATACAAACCAACAAATATAATACATCATTCGATAATAATACATATTAAATTGGAAGCATTGTTGGTTCAATAAGAATTTCATTAACAGCGCAAAATGAGGGTTGTGTTAATACGAATAAAGCAGCTTCTGCAATATTTGAGGGTTTGAGGATTTCATATTTTGAACTGTTGTCATAGCGTTCTTTCACCTACAAGTAAAATTAAAAATATTATAGTAGACAATTGTACATACATAAGCAGATCTGATAAAGGGCGGGGAGGGGTAAACATTTTAATATATGGTAGCAAACCGACCCAAGAGGTTTCAGCTTCGAATATATTATTTTAGAAGACTTAGTACCCTAGTCGGCTCTTTAGACAAGAGGGCCTGGGGTGATAAGGGGATCACCCTATTTAAAAAGCTAATGAATGACCTATCTTACGTGTAAATTAATTTATTTTTATTTGTAATTACTTTGAAATCACTTGTCCTGTTTAATAATTCAGTTTTAACATCGCCAGGCTGAATACACGTAACTTTTACATTATAATCAGTCATTTCAGTTCTTAGCGCTCCAGATACTCCTTCCATAAAAAATTTTGTACCCGAGTACACCCCTAGGCCTGCAAAAGACTAAATAAAACAACATTTTTTATTGATTATATTTAATACATTGTTTATAATAATGTTTAATTATAAACCACTGTTAAATGTTGATTAATGACAAATTTATAAATGGTGATGAAAATTCCTTTCTATTTTTTTTAATCGACGCATCTGTATTCATTTATATGCATTTTTTTGCAGCCATTCCGCGCCGTGGCGACCAACCGATGTATAATTTATAGTGTACTCCACAGACAACCCCGTGAAGGTTTAACACTACCTATGGGTGTTACCTATGTCTTTCCCACGGAATCCCATGTGGGTATTCCCAAACAGGCAACTAATAGGATAATCCCATGGAAATAGCGGTGCTGTTAGTGATAATATGAAGTATTGTACGAGAAAAATATTAGTCTTTTTCATCTCGTATTTCCGACATTTTTAAAAATAAAAATAAAATTCCCTGAGTTTATTAATTTTGTATCTAGAATTATTCAGAACAAATGGGTACTTAAGAATATTAGTAATATTATTTAAAATTGTGTTAAATGAAAAATAAATATTTTTTTTAAACGAACATTTGTTGAACATGAAAACTTGTATAAATATCTTTAAAAATATCCTGTTCAATGTCAAAAAAAAAATTTATAAAGTTAATTCAAAAAGTAATAAGATGTCATAAAAAAAATGTTTTAATTATTAACAACTCTTAGTAAATTTAATAAAGGGTTTGAATCCTGATAGCTACGCCACAAAAATGAAAACGTTTAAAAACTACACAGTTTTAAGAATACATTTCCAGCTATACATTGTTACATTCTACATAACACCATTTAACAATTATAACTTCCTCGACAAGTTGTAATATATATACAATTATTTTACTCACTCTTCGACCAGCATCTGATGTAATATTAATTATATGACCTGACTTTCTTAATGTCATAATAGGAAGTACTGCCCCTAGGCAATTGAGCATTCCATTACAGTTTACTTGAACCATTTCCTCCCATTCTTTTAACTTGAACTTATCAAAAGAAGTATAAAACATTACTCCGGCGTTATTGATTAAGATATCAATTGAACCAACCGTTTTTTCAATATTCTGAGTCACTGTTTGAACCTAAACATAATTTATACTATATTTCTTGTATAATGTAAGTACAGAAGTGGTAAGTATTAATTATTACATCTAATTGGTTGGTAACGTCCATTTTATATGGCACAACATTGGTAATGCCTAATGCAATTATTTCATTCTGTAATTTTATTAATCTATCCATTCTTCGACCAGTAGGAACTACTATAGCTCCAGCTAATGCAAGCTTTTTAGCTATTTCATAACCAATTCCTGAAGTAGCTCCAGTAATCAGTACTACTTTTGATTTCAGAGGTAACTGTTGTATCTGTGGTACACTTACTATATTTAAAAAAGTTAAATGCTTATTGAAATAATAATACAATCATTAAAATTATTGCAAATATGTGATAGATTTTATGTATGTTTGCTCGGCCATTGACCACGAAGATATTGAATACAAGGCTATATACAGTATGCTCTATCCATTGTATATGATCTAAGGGTAAGGGGAGGGTCGTGTAAACAGCTGTTCAGAGTTTGTTTTTAGAGAAATGGTAAGATTTATTAAAATACAATTTTTAATTCAAAGTATTTCATGAAAACTAGAAAAAATTAAAAATAGTGGGGTTAAAGCTGCTTGAATCTGACTTTTAGTTTTTGCGCCGCACAGCGTACAGGTCGCTATAACTATCTAAAATAAAAATTGGAAAATTTTTCTGTTTAAGTACTTTTATACGCTTTGCGTGAACCTAAAATAAAAATAAAAATTCTGGGTTAATTTTAACAAAAAATACCTATTTTAACATGGATATATTATTGGGCTGGGGGTCAATCGGAAAATCTGTACGTGCGTGCGAGTATATATATATATATATATATATATATATATAAGATTAGCGGTAAGAGATGGTCCAGCTGTATGCTGGAGGTGAGGTAAGAGATTAGAGATAAAACATTTATATTAGAAAGTACCAAAAAGTACTAAGGTCCTATACTTGTATATTAAGACATGTCCATGCTCCTATGTACTTCCATGCAGCGGAGCTCATTCCCATTTTTTTTTTGTATAAGAAATTTCTAAAAAGCAGTATTTATTATTAACTAAGTAACAATAATTAATAAACTTTTAGGTTCACGCAAAGGCCAGTAAGTTAAGGAAAAAGAATGCGCCAAACCACATGTTAATCCGATTAAAATTCATTAAGCTACATTGTATGGCGTGTAAAATATTTCTTTTTTTGAGAAAAGCTCGTTTAAAGTTGCCAATTTTCCAAGTTTTCGGCGCGCGCTGCTGGTATTTGAAAACTTTTTTTTTTGCATTTTTATGCCGAATTTTATGATTTTTTTCGAAAATATAATGTTATTCTCTAAAGTTAATACATCAAATCTTCGATAATGCTGCCATTTAGTGAAAATATCAAAACAACAAGTATATTTGGCTGATAGACTGGCTCCCAGCCGTAAAAACAATGGCAGTCGGTATTTTTCGGCGACTTATAAGAGAACCAATGTAATTTTTTTAAAGTTTCCCTTGAGACTACAACCCAGTTCCCGCATCTAATTTTTAGAACTTAGTGTTAGTACTAAATTGTAATAGAACTGTATTTTTCTTTATTAATACAACAATCGACATCAAAAAGTTTTCAATATTTGATAGTAAATTCAGTACAATAAGATTAAGAGTGTGTGGAGAGCTAGCCCTTCGCGAGTTTAAGAACAACATAATTTAACCCAGGCGGGTTAGGATATTTTATTAATTTTTTATTACTAGAACTCAAATATTTGTTATTATTACCTTTGATATCTGGTTGTGGTATTAGTTTTAACGTATTTAGAGTTTTTAGTATTTTCAGACATTCCAGATTATCTAACTTTGGATAAACCGTGTTAACTGAAGATAAATATGCATCCAAATTTCTTCTTTTTACCGTAGACTGATTTTCTAAGTAAGCTTTTTTGTTAAGTGTAGAATTCAGCAAATAAGTAAGACTAGCCAACTCGGGTTTTGATTTGTTAACCACTGTTTTTGACCATTCTTCATAGGGTAGTTTCTTTAAATCATAGCCAAATTCTTTCATAGTTTGCCATAAGTTTCTAAAAAGAATTGAAATAAATCATTAATGTTTTATAACTAGTTGTGTATTATATTGATATTAATAGTTTATTACTTTGAATCATAAGGATCATTGACCAAATGATAGACTTTCCCTGATGATTGATTTAATGTTTGGGCCAATTCCACAATAGTATTTGATACAAAATCAACAGGTGTCAATTCAATCTGTGCAATTTTTCAAAAGTAGCATTAGGCACCTCGTTATTTTATTATTTAAAAACCAAAATGTTAATATATACCTGCCAATTTATATCAGGATATGTATTGGTATACAGAACGCCTTGTATGAGAAGTAAAGTTAGATCTGCCGTGTTCCAACTATTTACGTATCTACTTCCACTTATATTTCCACATCGGAATATTGAAGCTGGAAATCCTTTTTTAATAATATCCAAAATCAATTTTTCCGAAATCCATTTTGTTTGTCCATAGCCTTCTTTTAAAAAGGACGCCCATTTCATTATATCATCATTTTCTTGTATATTTTTAAAGCCAGGAGGAAAAACAGATGACGAACTACATACAAGTAAAACTATTATTATTTTAATACATTTTTTTTTTTTTTACTATTCAAAAGCCTTGAAAATTATAATTTAACGGAACCATTAAATAGTCTGTTAAATAATTAATGACAGGTCGAGATTCACAAATCAATGAAACCCGATAATAGAATTTTTCCACGATACTTAGATTAAAAAAACAACATTTGAATTAGGGGAGAGGGCTACCATGTAGGTATATTCTTGCAAATAGCTTTGATGTATGTACGCTGTGTATCAACTCATGTCTCATTTCTTATCCCAATTCAAGCAATGGGAAAAGCAAAGTATCGATACTTATTAAATAAGTTAATTTTTAATATGTTGGTATTATAAAATATTAATAGTTGGCTAAATTAACAAGTATAACCTGTAAATACCAAAAATAAAAACTAAACAAATTATTTAAATTTAGTATGAACAAAAAATAACATTTTTTTTTTAAATATAGTAGGTATTAAAGTTACTCATATAACTCAATTTGTCACTATTTATATTTTAAAGCAATAATAAGTATATTACATTCAAACTACCTTATAAAGTGTAAAGGTTTTATTTTTTCATCTAAACAAAATTTGATAACATTTTTAGTTCCAAAAACGTTATCTTTGTATAATGCTCCATATGGGTAAGATATGTTAACTTGTGCTGCAGCATGTATAACATAGTCGATATCGTAACACAGAGCATCATAATCGGCATCATCTAATCCAAATTTATGTAAAGAGATGTCACCTGAAATAATTGTAATTTGTGATAAATATCTTAAAAAATAATATATTTTGAACCAAATATTATTAAAAATTTATTTGTGTTAAAAATAACCTATTCTTATTATATAAGCCTTCTTAGTTAATAGTTATTAATTAAATAAATAGCTGACGAATAATCACATTCGTAGGTAAACTGTCACCAATATTAGTGCTATCTTTAATTATTAGTCATCTATATCGGTAATAAATAATTATATACATACTTTTTATGACAGTTACTCGAGAATAAAACGGCCCATTCGAAAGTCCAATTTCTAAATTATATTTTCTCATCGTTTGTTCGAGTTTTTCTAATGGCCTGTACTTAGCTGAGTCTCTTACCAAACAGAAAATGTTTGCCTAGTTTAATAGTTAATACATGTTTTAGAACTTTATTTATAAGTTAAAGTAAAATTATTAGATTTTTTTTTTAATATTACTGTAGTTTGTAATAGCTTATGTAGAATAAAAGCTCCTAAAAATCCTGTTGATCCAGTTAGTAAAACATTCCCATTATAAAACTTATTTTGATTAATGTCCACAGATCTCCAAAACGCGCGAAGCATTTTATTTGGACTAAAATAAAATAATGTCCAACTATATTGTAATGTTTGAAATTAAAAATAAAAAGCTCGTATTTTATGGGTTGGAAGATTATATAATATTCATTACATAATTAAGTTATCGATTTGATTTTTAAGTTCCTCCTCTAAGTTTAATTCTTTATTTGTAGATACGTTTTTATCAAGTAAAGATGACATTGCTACAACGGTGGGATTGAGGAATAAATCGTGAACTCTAAAATCAGTTTTAAACTGGTCGTTGATCTCACCGATTACAGTTGAAGCCAGTAACGAATGCCTAAAATAAATACAAAAATTAATTAACAAAACGTCATACAGCGAGAACAGAGCTTAATGGAGTAGGGACGGTCTCAGGTCTATAAACATTATTTATATGTGAAATGATAAATGTTTTATCTTTTTTAGTACATTTTAGTAGAGTCCTATCAACTTTTGATTTTAAATAGCAACGTATATTTGTTTACATTTAACGTTGGTTTTTTTTTGCCAATGAGGCTCAGATGCTTTATTGAATTTTGGGTTTATAGTTGTATAGTTAATATTTGCTAAACAAATTTGGTACTCAAGAGAGACAAGTGGCTATTTTCCTCTAGACAGTCACCTGTCATAAGGAACAAACCGCCAGTGGCCAAGATTCAAACCGGTACGGCGGCTGTGCATTATTACACTGTCGCTTAATTTCACAAGGCCTCATAAAGGGTGACGTATATATTTAATATATTTTTTTAATTGGAAATAAATGACTACAAATGTAGACTGGTCAATAACCAGTTTTTAATAATTATTTTTGAATTTAGTAAAGCTTAAAATTTTGAACTGGAGGAAGGGTGGAGTATAGTATCATTTTTTATGCGCGCATTACTCAACTGCACCTATCCTCAGTCCCAAATTTTTGACTTGAATTACTAAAATAAATTATTCAAAACTGGTTATAGACTAGTCAAATTTCAGGAAATTATTCATTAAAAAAGTTAATTATTTTAGGGACGTAGTGTGGCACATTGTGCAGTGGTCACTAGGGTGTAGTGAAAAAAAGCAATTTTTTAAATCTTTTTCGTAATACCTTACAAAACTAGCGTCTTGGTGTATATAAACCTAAAGAAAAAAAAAACAAATTTTTAAAAAAATATATCCCCCGCCCCAAGTCAAAAAACCAATATCCAGCAAAAGTATTCAGACTTTCTACCATAACTCAAAAAGTTTCAATACTAAAAAAATTAAAAACTATTATTTTGTAGAGAACTATATTCTGCATATTATACATGTAAAATTTTTATTTTTTTTTTTTTTTAATCGCCAAAAATAAAATTTAAAACTTAAAAACATGCAAAAACAATTTTTTTTAACTTTGATTTAATTTTTAAAATAAATAATAAAGTTTTTGAAAAGCCTATGATGAAAAATAAGAATGTTAGCAATTTCACTACCATATTGCCTTAAAATAAAACTGTGCTCTTTTGGACTGCACAGGTTTACATACGCTGTAATATAATATATTAATATTTGTATGTATACTTTATAATATAATGTACATTTACGTACCCATCAATTTATGAGGTAACCAATGTTGATGTTTGATGAGTACACTTATATTAGAAAAAACTTTAGCAACACTTGTGGTTATATATAATAAAGAAATAAAATAATGAACTATTCAAAAAACCCTTAACACAAAAAACAAAATACACGCGCATTACTGACGAAATGCGCGAGTACGCTAAAGTGTAGTTTTTTTGTTTTTAAGAGTTTTTTCTGAGTTTTTTTAATGATTTATTATTTTATTTCTCTAGTACACTTATATATATCCTGTTATAAATTATAATAAAATAATGTTAAATGTCAAGTTAAGAATGTTTACCAGATTTCAACGAATATTATACTGTATGTATGACACACATGATAGGTATTATGTAGTTTGAAAACAGTACTAAGTTCACAAAACAGCGTATCAAATATAATTAATCTTTAAGTGATGGCAATTACCACGTTAACCCCTACTCTAAAAAATTTTAATTAAATTATTACAACTGTTTTAATGTCCAACGAATATTGAAGATTATTGATATGAAAATTTAGAGTGGGGGCAGTCTTCATCGTTAATATTATTTCTAATGATGTAATGCTAGTAATAATTTAAAATAGTATTATTATTTACCAATAATGAAAAAATAGACTCTAATAACTTACATAAATTCGACTTTTACCTATAATAAATTATTTATTGGACATCCGCTAGCTTTAATATCTCTAGAGTTAGGAAAATTAAGAAAGTCAGTTAAAACTTCTATCTCTATTTAATAAATAATACTATAAATAGATACAGTTATAATAACATATAAACAAAGAACTTTTTTACTTCATAGGAAAGAAAAATATGTTATTTTTCTATTAAGCTGTCGGCTGTAACTGCTCAAATACGCGCTATTACTATACAGGATGATTAAAAAGAATATCACAATTTTGATTAAATACATTCATTGAACGAAACATGTTAGAAATTTAGAAGTTATAGCGCTAGGGGCTATAAAGGTTTGGTAATACGGATTCAGGGGCGCGCGGCGTTGATGGCCCGGGAGCCGGGTACCTATCGTGGAACCACTATATGCGGGGCGCACGCCCAAACGGCGGAGTTGCCAGACTAGGCACTCCGAAAAACTCTTCAAAATTGTTTTTCATTGATTAATAAACCAAAATTCCAACATGTTTAGTTTAATAAATATATATTTAATCAAAGTTGTGATATTTTTTGTAACTCCTCTTTAAATTTTTCCCCCGTACATTTCTTATCTATCCTACACGAACAAATATATAGTTAAAATAGGGATACAATGCTATCCAATTATGAACTCATAATTGGAATGATTAATAAATAAATAGCCCAACCAAATGTATAGTTGATTTAACTAAGTATTTTGTTACCCTAACTATTTTTTTAGTTATTCCAACTATAAAATATTTATTGTATCTCTACATAATCATAACTACAGTTGATTCCGCTATTAAATTAATTAACAATATATTATGTATAATTTACCCTCCGTTTTCGAAGAAATTATCTAGAACATCAATGGTATACATTTGTAGTGTTTTACAAAATATAGTAGCAACAGTTTTTTCAGTTTCAGTTTTCCAGTTTTCTATTAAAATGCCATTTGTTTTGTTCAAATTTACTCTAGGCAGTGCTGATTTGTTTAATTTTCCTGAAGCTTCCACAACTGGTAATCTATGATAAATTAATCAATGTAATTAAATTAATTGAAACATAATACACATACATATTGTAAGTTAAAACACCACGTAGGTATAATGTTTGAAAGAATACTAAAGAGTGCGAAGTATTCTAGCTAAGATGCACAAAATACGGAGCCGATATGGAATGCGGTTAGATAAAAATAAAACATAAATCATACATGGTGTACACTAAAATAAATACTATTTGTAGTACGTTTAATACAGACAATACATTTAAAAATAAGTACAACTCTTCAGTTATCCAGGAATAAGTAAAACAAAAGTAGCTGAAAGAAATAAGAATAACACAAGAGAAGATCCAATAACAAATGAAGACCATTTCAAAGATCTGAATAAACAAAAAACATGTAATAGCAATAGGAGGCATAGAAAACTGCAGTAACTAAGAAAATGAATGGCGACTCTAAGAAGAATATAAATACTTTATCTTGATGAAAAGACAGAAATTAATACCTATAATTGGTTTAATAATTTACATAGGATTTTTTTTAGATTCTGTAAGTTATAAATTTCTTATTGTATTAAAAATTATAAATTAATTAATAGTTAGTTAAAATGAAAATGTATTAATACAGTTTAAAATATAGAATTTAATTTAATTCTAAATGTTTTATAAAGTTATAATTTATTCAAACGACTATGGTAATAATTATTATATTGACTATCGCATTGCTTATGGACAATATCAAATATGTTTACAAATTATAATTAAAATGTAAATTATATTATGTAAAATAATACCTTTCAAGGAATAAATAAAAAGATGGAATCATGTAAAATGGCATTTTTAGTTTTAATCGTTTCTTCAATTCTATTGATGATAATGTTGATTTTTCCATTAGTGATATGTAGGCTACTAAATATTTGTCAGTACCCTCTTCCCCAACTGATAAAACACAAACTGCATTCACCTCAAGCTCATTTAAAATAGCCGCTTCGATAGCCTAGAAAACAGCAACATATTAAATAAAGGTATCATCGAATAAATACTTCTATGTGTAATTAACCTGTAATTCAACACTATAACCCCTAATTTTTATCATAGAATCACAACGACCACAAATCTCTAAACTTCCATCAAATCGTAGATAACCCCAATCGCCTGTTTTGTATAAGCGATCTCCAATTTCGTATGGTATTGTATTTGGTGGCGTTATGAATCTCTGTCCGTTTAATTCTGGTCGGTTCAAGTATCCTATGGCAAGAGTTGGCCCTCCAACGTATATCTATTTACATATTATTTCCAAATTATACAATATATTACAATATTTTAAACTTTATTAATGAAATAACATTTAGTATTACTTCTCCTGTCATTCCAATATTTTTTATTTGAAATTCCTTATCCATAATAAAAATATGAACTCCCGGCAATGGTGGACCCACGGGGGCAAATGTGCCGTTTTCAATTTCACTGCGTTTCGAAACATCTTGAAAAGTAAGTATTTTAACAATTTATTATAAGTGTTTCGATTGATTTATTTTTATGAAAATAATTATTTAAGGACGACTGTGATTTATTTCAGGGCATTGTATACCTATACAATGCCCTTAAATAAACTAGGTAACTTTTCACTAAAACTTAACATTTATGCTAAATTTTGTAAACATATATATTAACACAGGAAATGTGAGTCTTTTTTCGATACTAAATTTTTTTTTCTTCTATTATTTTTAAACTCTTATAACCCATAAAGGCTCTAGTTTTGAACAAAATAGACTCTTGGAATTTCTATTATCCTGTGTTCCCATGAGTCTGACTTCCATTCGGAAAAAAGTTTTAAATTTCTCATCATCTCTTCTGCGGTTTGTAGTAATAACTACTTTTTCATAGTATTTGTTTTCATTTGAAAAAAGTTTTTTGTAAAAAAAAAAGTGTTTAACTATTCGAAAATAATAACAGTTCAAAGCCGATACTACAAACCACAGAAGAGATAATGAGGAATTCAAACTTTTTTCAGAATAGAAATCGGACTTCATGGGAATAAAGAATGATGGGAATGCTAAGGGTCTATTTACGCCCAATTTTATCACAGTCGCAAATCTCCTTAATCTTTTTTATGTACCGGCACACGTGACGTCATGACATTCAGATACACTGTAAAAGTTAAACATTTTAACCCCTGGTGCAATTTGTTCCATTCTATCCCTTAAGGATGTAGTCATGACTTCTCCGCACAACCATATTTGTCTAGAAATATGTAATACAATTTAGTTGAAATAATGTTTAAGTACATTATTTCAATAAGCAATAAATAGTAACCTACTTTAATGTTTCTAGACCTTTAGCTGTGTCAAGATTTTTGTAATCAAGAACTGTTTGAAGAAGAGATGGCGTAAAAAGCATCCTTGTAATTTTATTATTTTGAAGGAACTGCAACAATCGTGGTGGGTCATAAATAACATCGTCAGGAATAATATACATTGGAACTCCTAAAAAAATGTCTAAGATTAGTTATAATTTATCTTATAAACTTCACATTAAATTTTAAAAATATATTTTTTTTTATTTCGATACAAAGCTTAGTTAGTTAACCACTTCGATAAATATATAATTTTCCATTATTCATATAAGCGTTCATCATTTTTATTTATTCATTTTTTTTCTCGGATTAAAAATTTGGTATGTTAATGTATAATTATGTGGATAATTTTCGGACTTAAGTCTTCAGTTTTATACTGACGTTATGGACTCATTGCATAATCCATCTTCGGAGTGATAGTCAACGTTCCGCAGCTTCCGCTGTTCTGACCATACTGATTAGTGATTAGTGACTGGCTCGTTTGTTTCGTTCCACTATTTAAGCGCCCCGCATCCTTGAAAGCACCAACTTATCTCGACCAGATGTTGTCGTACATGTTTCACCGTATCATAACATTTCGGCATCTGTTATGTGGCTTTCTTTGCGTGTTCCTTTTTGGCATTTTTTACATATTACTCTTCTTTTTCTGCATTAGCTATTTTTGTTAACTTTCCGGTCGAAATAACACGGTGCTTAAAGGACGTATAAATAGCGGTACGATTACAAAACAAGCAATCCAGTCACTAGTCAGTATAGTCACAACAGCGGAAACTTTGTGTTGATAATATTAGGCTGGTATATTTCATATTAGATGTACATTTTAAACCCATGTGGTATATCTCAAACAACCAATTACAAATTATAAGTCAGTCTAGAGACTAGTTAAATAATTGTTTTTTAATTAAAATTATCTCATAAAAATAAAATTTACCTTTTAAAAGAGGTCTTAACATCTCCCATATAAAAAATACATTGCAAGCTTCTCTGTCGGCACTTTCATAAGGGTATGCTTTATGTCTCCATGTGAATGAATATACAGCTCCACGATGAGGGCACATTATACCTATAACAAGGCATAAAACAAGTAATTACATTATTTTAAAATTAAATTATAAGAAATTTCAATTCAATAAAAATATTCTTTATTATTTGCCAAACCTTTTGGTTTTCCTGTAGTACCAGACGAGTATACTATGTATGCTAAATCATCCAATTGTTTTGATTCGTTTGGTTGTGACAGAACTACAGTTTTTTTTAAATCCTCAAACCAGCCTCTATCTAAACAAATTAGTTCCTGACATTTGAATCGCTGTTCAAACTTTTTTTTGGTAATAATTAGTCTGGGTTTGGAATCTTCTAGTACAGAGTTCAGCAGTAGATCAGGATATGAAATTTCCAGTGGCACAAATGCGCCTCCTAAAAAAATAATAGGAATATAATAAAGGTATAATACATTTTGTTTGATGAAATAAACCAAAAATGGGGTAAATTTTGAAAGTCGAGGTAACAAGTGGGACTTTTCGGGAAAACATTAAGAGGGGTTTCCTATCTAACATAATAAAAATTCCACCCTCTATCCCTTTGCTAAGTTTTTGAGAAAAGGAAATTACTATATCTATTTTTTAAAAAAATTTTTTAAAAAAACTATTAAAAACATGCTCTTCTAAAAAAAAAATTGTAAAAAGTGAACTAAAAAATTAAAAAATAATTTTATTACAAGAACAATTTACCAATCAATTGTAGCATATTTTATTTAAAATGTCAATTCCTTTAAAAACAATCGAAAATTAACTACAATTTTAAATAATGTTAAACATCTTTAATTTTTGACTAAAAAAAAAAAGCGTGGGCCCTATTCAACAAAGTCCAAATTCATTGAGTTAAGTATTATGAAATGTATGTGTCACACACAAATATTTAACTAAATTACAAAAGAACTTACAATATAAAACATTATCTGATAAATTTATTAAGGACTTTGTTGAATAGGGCCCACGCTTTCCTTTTAAGTAAAAAATTAAAGATGTTTAACATTATTTAGAATTGTAGTTAATTTCGGGTGTTTTTAAAGTAATTGACATTTTAAATAAAATATGCTACAATTGATTGGTAAATTGTTCTTGTAATAAAATTATTTTTTACTTTTTAGTTCACTTTTTACTGTTTTTTTAGAAAACCATGTTTTTAAAAAAGTTTTTTTTTTATTTATTTATTTATTTTTACTTTTTAGTCCTATTAAAGGTATTTAATAATTGCTGAATAGATTACTAAATTAATTTTGGAAGATTCGGAAAAAAATGAAATTTTAGTAAAATGACCCCCACATTTGACCCTGTGTAGGGCGACCTGGATGTCCGAGTCCCCATATGATTACAGGATATTGTATTGTCATCTAAGATGAGTGTCTGTGCCAAGTTTAAGCCCTATACGACATCAGGTATTGGGTTAAATAAGTTTTAGAAGATTTGAAAAATACCCGTACAAACGTACGTGTTAGCGAGCTAAAGAAAAGCATGTAAAATGAATGTCGTCTGTTTGTCTGTCTGTCCTTTATGTATTAGTACACCATTCATCCGATCGCCATGAAACTTTATGAAGTTGCTGAATACACTCCCTCAAAGGTAAGTGGCATAGTACTTTTCGAAAATTCTTACCCCTAAGGGTGGCCTCAAACACGAATTTTGTATTTAAAATACGAAATATTTTTCGTTGCTAACCCAAAACAAACACTTTTTGTAACCATGGTAACCACGGTACTCCAGCGAATGGTAGGTGATGATTAAAAAAACAGGCCGATTCTATGTACCACGATTCTGGGCAAGCTTTTAACTCCAGCTTTTGATTGTTGGAACGGGATCTGAGACTGGGACTGGGGCCTGTGAGTAAGAGGAGGACATAATAACCGAAAAAAGTGCCACAAAAACGCTGTCACGCTGTTATCTGATAAGAGACAAGAGATTAGAGATGAGGGATGGGGGTGAGAATGGGGGAATGGGAATTATTTTAATCAGCCCTGGCAAACTAAATTCCGAGCAACGCTAGGTCCGGACATTTTCATAAAATACAAGCTGTCCGAACCCAGCAATTCCCATCCCCATCCCCACCTTCATCTAGTTCTTCAAGCTTGTCCAGAATCGTAGCACATCGCGCTTTTGTATATATTTTTTTCTGTGCATACGTTACATTTAAATTGGTAGGTGTGCCTTTTTTGGGTGTTCATATGTATTTAGCGTATATAAAAATATTATACAATTACAGCATTACTACTAGGTCATTAAATGGAGTCTAGAAATATGTAAACTGCAGTGTAAATGTTTTTAAATTTTCAAAAATAGTAAATTTTTTATTGCATTTCTGACCTAACCTTTGCACTTACATAAAAATGTATAAAAAGCAAACTTATAGATAAATATTCGAGGAAAAACTTTTATACGAAAAGTTTTGTCGTAAGTATAATTTTTTTCAATATTTAAAAAAAAACTGTTTTAGGGGTGTTTAATCCTATCTCCTAAAATCCACTGAGGGGAGGGGATTTTAGTATGTTAGCTTGGGGACATTCCGAAAAGGCCCGCTTGTTACCTCGTCTTTCATAATTATTTCCTATCTTGTCTACACTACATTATTAAGTATTCATTTTTAAACTTTTGTACATAAAAAATCAATTTATGGTTAAATATTATAAGTATAATATAATACCAGCTTTGTGAGTTGCAATGTAGCTAATGGTGTATTCTAAACATCGTTCCATCATTATACCAACTATTGTATTGAGGCAAACACCGAAATTCTTTAATTTTGCTGCTAAAACATCAGTCATTTCATCTAATTCTTTGAAAGTAGTCTGTAAAAAACGTTTTTTTAATTTATAAATAGTTAATCAACAATTAAAATTAAAATAAAAAAATTCCCTTTATAAAAGTTACTACCAGAATTACGTTATAACTTATAATAATGAAAAATATCATACAACATATTTTAAGACCATAAATTATTTGAATATAAATAGTTCATATAAATATTTTAAATATTAATTAGTTAGTTGTTATGTCATCCATTTAAATTGTAGTTTAAAAGTAATTCGTCATGTTACTATTATATTTAAGAACATTAATTTCTATGTCAGTCTAAATTATAAAAATTTGGTTTTTATATAAAAAAAATTAAATCCCAATAATAATTTTTTTTTACATTATATATGTATAACTTTTATAGATTTTTAGCGCTATAATCGAATTTGAAACCCGTTGACTTAGGGCAAGGGTCAAAGTATACAAAAAAACGTTAAAAAACTTCAAGGCAGAGGGAAGTCAGAGCATGATTGGGAATTCAAGAATTATTATAGCTGAAAGTGATGAATTCACACGCGTCAACGCGAAACTGTAGAATAAATAAGTGTGAATCCAGATTTTAACATGTATTTTTATATTTTATGAGTTCATGCTAGATTCTCCATTCACCATTTCAAATAAAATCCTAAAACTAATTTTGCGAAAATTTGCTTAGATCTTATTTCTTAATCGGCGCCATCTTAAGTAGACTGGATAGTAGATATCGTTATTTATTATGTACTACCCCTGTCTACATCACACGCAACATAGGAATGTAGACGTTTTTTTTGTTCGTCGTACTGATCAAAATACTGATACGATAAAGAATACAGGTTTAAATTCGTCAAGTTTATTTCGATCGGTACGATGAACAAAAAATACGTCTTAATTCCCATTTCCCATGTTGCGAGTGAGATAGACAGAGACAGAAATAATCGTTATTCATCATCTAAAATTAGCAAAATACAAATTTAAGCGTGATAAAGATATGCTGTATTTAGATTCGAATTCGGAATATTAAAATCTGATTTAAACCTGATTAAAATGTTAAGACAATAATTTATCGCAGGATTATGTAATTATTACAGATTCCTTTTCCATTTAGCAAGTTCCTCAAACTTTAAATTAAAATTATCTAATATTATAATAAATTGAATTCTTACTACTGAACCATCGACGTTAACGACAGCTGTGGCATCAGGAGTAGCGTCAACTTGTTTTTTTAACATTTCGTCGAGACATCCGAATTTGTCATAATCAAACATATCAACTCTAGTTACTTGAGGCATCACGTAAAAAAGTGATTATATATTATTATTTAATAAATATTGACTGATTGAAAAGTTTTAAAATTTTTATTTATATATTAATAAATGAAACATGTGAGACGATTGTCTTATTATCTATAACCAATAGTTATACATTATAATGTATGGCGATTAGTATTACAGTGGCGTGATATATTAGGCTTATACAACAATGGACAATAAATTAAGCTATACACATTTTTTTTAGTTACGTTTCTCAGTTATTGTCGATAGCCGGTAGGTATTTCTTAGAAAATCAATATACATTTTATGTGTCAATATATTGATACATGACATTTAAAGTTAACATTAGGGCTTACGCCCTGTAGTGACAAAATCTCCTAAAATAAATATAAAAAATTGACATATAAATATAACTCGGCCAATTTTTTCAAGGTAGAAGAACGATTCTGGTCTTAAAATGTTCAGAATTTAGAACAACCAATACCTCAAAATTTGATTTTTCCTAATTTGCCTCATATATTATTATAAAGTGACTAAATATTTATTAATATTTTTCAGAGCTCTTAAAAGCTATTGAAACTTAAACGGTAAAATATATACAGGGTGTAATGTAAAGTTCTACTGAGCTTCAAATGAGACATTCAGGATGCTCTAAGAGTACAATAAATGGTTTTCAATTTTTTTTAATTTTAAAATTATTTAAAATAAAATTTATATCTCTTTAGAAAATTGTCTAACGAAATAATTTCAGATTTGAAAGCAGGAGAAAAAATCTTGTTGAATTGATATGTAACATGATTTTTTGGTATCTTGCCACTTATACATCCACAGGGTGGTTACCGAGTGGTCACTGAGTGGCCGGCATGTGACTAAAACCAACATATGGCATGCGACACATCGTTTAATATAAAATAATTCTAAGGACACCACTGGATTGAGAATACAATTCTAACCCAAAATTATGTGTCACATGCCATATGTTGATTTTGGTAACATGCCGGCCACTCGGTGGACGCAAGTGTGGCTAGGTACCAAAAAGTCGTGATATATATCAATTCAACAAAATTTTTTGTCTGATTTCAAATCTGAAATTATTTTTTTCGTAAGACAATTTTTTAATGAGATACGAGTTCTATTTTAAATAATTTTAAAATTAAAAAAAAATTGAAAACCATTTATTGTACTCTTAGAGCATCCTGAATGTCTCATTTGAAGCTCGGTAGAACTTTACATAACACCCTGTATATTTAACTAACTTTTCAAATTTAGAATAATTTGCTGAAAATGTTGACTGGTCGAGAGCCAATTTCGGATAATTACTTTTAAAGTTATTAAAGTTTAAAATGTATGACAGAAGGCAGGGTCGAGTGTAGTATTGTTTTTATAAATTATAATATTGCAGTTTTGACACAAAATAGTATTAAATATAATACGATTGAAAAAGCTTTCAGTATCATAACTCACAGAATACATTAGAACTTGTTATAAAGTTTTTATACTATTTACTACTTTATTTACGTTTTTTTTTATAATTTCAAAAAAATGGAACCACGAAGGGCAGGGTAATGCGGGACGTCGGCATTAACAGTCATTACCAAAGTGGTAACTTGTTATCATATTTTGGGAACCTACCACTGAATGCCGACATTTACAACTATAAAAACTACGACGACGCCAATTTACGCGCCACTGAAAAACCGGCCAGTAGGCAGCAAGTTATCTATAATATTTATAATCAATGATAATACAACTACACAGTAGTCAGTAGACGTTTGACGTTATTTTAATTTAATTAATAAATAGTTATACTGATTTATTTTAGTTATTTTCAATTCTTAAACTTATTTTAATATGTATTGTTGTCCTATTTTTTTTATTTATTAATATTTTATTGTTTAACTAAAAAAGAAAACGATAACTCAATTCATTTGTAATTGTTCTGAGCTTACCTACCTACTATTCTTTATTAATAATATTTAATACATTTATTAATTTAGTTTTGATTAAATTCTACAATGAATGCTTTATTTGAACAAATAAAAGTGTTGCATAGCCAGAAGTTATATTCAAATATTACTAAAGTGGTTAGTTTAATAATTTTAATTACCTATCTTAAATTATAAATTTGGGTTTAATTTTTGTACTTATCAGTGGTGATGGCAAAAATTATGGGTCAGATCAAAATTGATTATTAAAATCTACAGAGAGATTTTGTTTCAGCTTATGTTAAACAACCATTAAGTTTATAAAATACCAAACAGTATAAAATAATGGGTGCTGTTATATTTCCATAGGCAAAAGTCTCGAAGGTTAGCATCCCCATTGTTTGTGTATATTATTTATCTACTAATATTGTTGCACCCCCAAGACATGTTAATTTGTGCTTATAAATAATTACTATTTTATAATTCACAGACAAATATTTTGTCTGATACAAAGTTCAAAACTAAATATATATTTTAGGAACATTTTTCTTTAAGAATCCTACACTCTCACAAACCTTGTTAACAGTCAACACTGTATAATAAGTTTTTGGTAATTTTTATTTGGGAGCCTAGAGATGTTAATCTAGTGGACAGATAAATGAAGGATGAGCCACCCCAGATATAAAAAAATGTTGGATAAAACATTAGAAATATTGTTCATGATTACATTTTTTCCAGTTTTGTATAATCTATATAAAATTAACATGTTTGAGATACATAGGTATACTTTCAATAGATTATTTAGTACGTCCTATACAGTATTTAATTGTGGCAACCATGATTTGCCTGAATACTGCATGGCTACTTATTTAGGCTTGAGATCAATCATTGATAGAAATAACTTAAGTATTATTGTACGATTTTCTTAAATATAATTAAAATTTTCTTCTAAACATAGCTTTCCAGAATATGTTTTATTCGGTCCATAATGATTTTAAAGCAAAAACACATATTGCAAAAGATAACAATATTTCAAAGAATGTCATATCCGATTTTTAAAATAAAAACGTATAAAAAGTTATAGTTATTTAAAAAAAGTTAAAAAATGTGATTTTAAATGTTAAATATTAGGTCTATCAAAAGAATATGAAATTGTCTCCAAAGTTGGTTTTCAATATATGTATTTAGAGTTTAAAACCATCCTAGAGCGAGTAAAACGCATTCTGCGTTGGTTTGTTTAATGCTAGAAAATTGGGTATATAGCGCCTCTTAAATGTATATCTAAACTTACAAATGAAATTTGTTTAGGGTGAAATGATAATAAAAGTTACTGAACACACAACTGATGTTTTGATGACGCATCATAAGTTCAGACTGTATGCATATTTAGGCGATTCACATTATAACATGGGTAATTATCGTCATGCAGTCATTGCATACAAAGCTGCATTGACATTCAAGGAAGCATGCAGTGCTGTTAAAACCCCCATCAAACAGCAGTTTGATAATTTAAGAGAACCAATGCCAGATATAGGTATATTATATTAAAACTAAAAATTAATTAAGTATATTTTATATATAGTATATAAATGTGTTGTCTAAAATATTGTAAACTTTTAACCCGTCACTACTTGCGCGATTTTTGGTTACATTTTAATTAAGTATGACCAGTATACATCTCTACCTGAGTCACAGAGTAACTAAGTGTGATTAGGGTAACTTTTTACCCTGCGCGAGTAATGACTGGTTAAAAATTATTATCAAATATTTTTGCTAGCTTTTTGGATTAATTAATTAAAATTTTTATTTTTTTAGATATCAAATATCAATTGCATCTATGTTTGATAAAATTGAAGGACTTCCAACAGGCATTAACTATTTTGCAGTCAGTACCAACAAAACAAAGGAAGACCAAAATCAATATGGCTTTAGGAAAATTACATCAACAACTAGGGAATGTTTGCTCTGCTATTTCTGCTTATAATAAAGTTCTTAAAGTTTGTGAATTTATTACTTTTATTAATACTTATTATTAGATTAGTTTTTTACTACAATATTTTAAAACTATATAGCATAAGACATAATGTGATATCTACTACCTAAAACAAATTCTAAAATACCTAGAAATAAATATGAAACCTGTCACTACTAGTCACACTAAATTACACTGTGACTATAATGTAGAAATTTAAATAAAGTATGATTGAAAATTGTGCATGTGGTCACTGGTTATTATAAATAAAATAGAAAGAATAGTGGGTCCATTGATTTTATTTTAGAATTTATAATAAATAAATTAGCAGTTTCACTTCATTGGTAGTATCATCATCATTAATTTTCCATATAATTTTCAGAGATAAATTGTGTATGCAAAATCCCCAAAAAAAAAACTTTGTGATGTTCAGGGTTGTTTGTTAAACAGGATTTTGGATAAAGTTCTGTGTACAATATTGACGTTTTAAATAAAATACACTTTTCTGTATTAAACAAACAAAATAAATGTAAATTATGTTTGTATTTAAAAGAGTTAATCTCTTCAGAACTATTGGAACAAATAGGTTGTCCAAATAACTAAAAAAAAATTTGTTTTTAATAATTATTTTAATTTTTAAAGTAATTTTCAAATTAAAAAAAAAACCTACTTTGCTTGGAACTTTATCTGGACCCCTGCTATTAATGGATAATCCATATCCATATCGTATTTATATATTATAAACTTCAAAACTATTACTATGATTTTTATAATCTGTGAAACAATATTTTAGGAATGTCCATTAGCTATTGAAGCAGCTGAAGGGCTCCTAAGCCTTGGTGTTAAAGGTACTGAAGTAAATGCTCTTATGCTAGAAATGGTGAGCATTAATGGACTTGAATGGTTGGTATATCAATTAGTCATAATTTTAACTTTTTTACAATTATAAAAGCAGTAGTGTTAGTTTAATTTTGTTATTTTGCCTGTTAATAAATAATGCAGATTTTTCAATTTAAAGCAAGATAAGTACTCAATTTTTCTAAAAATTATAGCAATTTCATAGTTTTTGTTTTAAAAACATTGTAGTTTATTCAGTAGATTATAGTTAGCTTTATTTGGACACATCAGTAGAATGTTATTTTGTCCTTATAATCTAAAAATTTAATATGTATAAATAGAAATTTTTTGGTAGTTAGGTACTGATTTGTTGATATAAAAGAATATGTTTATAATAAATAATATATAAATATAAAATAACAATAATTCATTAGACATACATCAAATATTTAAAAAAAAGTACCTATATTTGTTATTTAAAACCATTATTAAGCTTTCTATTAACCAAAATAACATTGGGAAAGGAATAATTGCCGGATTATCGGGAAAAATTAACTTAATATACTTAACAAAAATGTCCCATTTATTCGATTTGTGGGAATGGCCTAGATTACACTACAAATAGTTTATTTTGGTAATTTAAGAATTGTGTGTCCTTATTTAGTAGAATCTATGCATTTAAAACAAATTAAGGCTTCACAACTTACGTGTAAAAAATATTAATAACAATAATGATTTTAATATTATCAAATTAAACAAATCATTTAGCACTCACAATGAATGAAAAATAGAAAGAGTTTTTAGACATCATTAGTCATTAGACAATACTCACATTAATTCTATCATATTTACTCTGATACACCTGGTTGTGTTCAGGTTTATCTCTAGTATTAACCATACGTCTAACATGCTAATTTAATTATTGCCCCTCTTTTAAAACCTGAAATGTCGCCACTAAAACAATGTAACTTAAAAAAAAAACATTTTTCAATTTGTAATATACTTTACTAAAATTTTAGGTTGAGTGGATGGATAAGAGCTCATGCTCATTTGTATAATCACACCGAGTATCCTCTAGCAATAAATACATTAAAACAACTAGATGATCATACATCTTTAAGTAATAGTAATCGATTGTTGGTTGCAATTGGAAGAGCATATTATTATATTGGAGATCGAAAAAATGCCCTAATTTATTTACAAAGAGTAAATTTTTTTTTTCATTTCTAACGCTGTAAGAGGTTGTTTATTTATTATTTCTTTCAGGCTCATAAATCACTTCCTATTATGCAAGATGGCTTAAGTACATTAGCTATGTGCTTATACATGGAAAAACAAAATAGAGAATTAGAAAAGTTACTCCCGACAACATATACAGATGAAGCATTACTTGATCCACAATTATGGGTTGTTTTCGCATTTATATGTTATAGTAATAGTAATCATTCAAAAGCTATATGTTTAGTAGAAAAGGTAAGGTATAAATAATGTGTAGCTGTAAGTCTTCGATTTGTATTGGTCTATTTATTAATTTATATATTATTTAGGCCTGTTCATTTGATCCAAAAAATATTGAGACTCTACTATTACACGGTATGATTCTAACTAGTATGAAAAAGTATACTGATGCTATACTACAGTTTCGCCGAGCCAATGATGTAAGAATAAAGCTATTAATTTATACTTTCCAGTTGTACCTAATAATTATGATTTTGTTTTGTATAACATACAGATTGCTCCTAATCTCTTTGATCCTCACAAAGGAATGGTAGATTGTTATATATCGTTACACAAAATGAGAAGTGCTTTGACAGCTGCGAGCAATTGTTGTAAACAAATGAACAATCATCCTAAGGCTCTAACAGTAAGTATTTATTTTTAAGTTCAACTAATATCAAGGTTTCCGGTATATTGTTATAACATTTAATTTGTAACTACAAATTAAATGTTTAAGTTAATTTGTGAAACAAAGTCCGTTTTGAATTTAAGTTGTACAGCTAAGTTTAATTAAATATGAATTGATAAAGTCAAAAGAACCTTAGTCCACATTTACCAAAAGCGAGTTTATTATGGTTTTCATTTTAGCATTACTTCAAAGTATGGAATATTAATATTATCATAATATATCCATTTGATATATGGCGTATTTACGGGGTGGGGGTAGGGGTTGTATCCCCCCTTGGGCCCTATCAGTACACAAAAATATAACAGTCACACCTGATAAAATACTCAATATTCTTTCACTGTCCTCAAGAATTTAGACTTTGTTTTGTAGTTAAGAATCCAAATTTTTGTTTACATGCAACATGTATATAATATGAATATATGTTTTTATTGAATAGGCAAGGCTGTTAAAATTTGTTTATCTCCCCCGTGGAAAAATCCTAGATACGCTACTGCTTCTTTTGTTTTGTGGTCTATTACCACTCTCTTACAAATATTCTTAAGTATCGAAGATTCCAATTAGTATGAACAGTGGCGTAGTTACCAAGGGCGCAGTTGTCCCATTGTTTACAATTTCAGAGTGCTCATACGCATCAGATATAGTTTTTCTTGTTTAGAATTTAAGAGTGTCGCGGTATTCATATTGGCATTTTTATTTATATTATTTATTATTGCATAGTCTGCACTCCAAATTTGTTTCTCTGTGGTCAATTTATTATAATATTTTATTCTTAATACTGCCCTTAAGTTATTAATTATATATATTATTGTGAAAAAGTACAATGATGATGTGAAATACATTCATGATTGGGTTTTACAAGGCAAAACCTGTATTATTTTCCCTTCTGTTAGAAATGTCTAATTTCGAGATTATACCAATATTTAATACATTTAGTTATATTTTGCCAATTTAAGTGTTATAAATGATATCAAAAATCTTAAATTAAATTGTCAATGCAGTGTAAGACACTCTATAATTATATTGAAAGTAATTTTATTTTTTTAGTTGTACGCTTCTGTTTTGATTAAAGATCAAATATCTTTTGGAAAAGCAAAAATTGTGCTAGAAAAAGCCTTAAATGTTGATGAATATTACTTGCCTGCTGTTTACATGTTAGCACAAATATTTGAACAAGAAGGAAATTTAAATGCTGCTGTTGCACTTCTACATAAACAAGCATTGGACCAGCCAACGTGCAGACTTTATCAGATGCTAGGAGATTTCAGTGTTAAACAAAACCAAACTGAAAAAGCATTTGACTACTATTACTCAGCACTCAAGTAACTATTATTATTAATACTTCTGACGGTTTCATATAAATATTGTCCTAAGTTATAATTATGTATAATAGTAATGTGATGAACCTTAAAACCCATAAAAGTTCAAAGTATTTTTTTAAACTGGAAACAAACTATACTGTTATAAAAAAAGCCAGTGTGGTCGGGACATAGCGGGGACAGAGTTTGTTGTAGGCGCATGACCGTCTGTCTTCCTTCAGTCTAATTTTCAAACCTTAAGGTTGGCGTCACATTTGCGGAATTTCCATAGTATGAAAAAACGTTATTTGAAATATAGCTGGATACACTCAAGGACAGAATTTTAAAACAAAAATCAACTGCATGTTGTGGTTTTTCTTGCGGAAATATTCCCCAGTAGATTCCAAATTAAAACCAAATATGTTATTTTGTGTTAACAATGTCACATTTTGCTGAGAAATTGTATAATTTTACTCATCAGTTGACAACTATGATTGACGTAGAGTTGTTAATTTCTGAAGTCGAGGGTAATCTTCTTTGAGGGATTTAAGTGATCCCTCATACAAAAATAGAGAGGATATAAATTTAGAAAATATGATCCTAATGTACATTTTGGGGTTCTTCTTTGTCATTAAGTGCAAGACAATTCTAATTCACTGTCATCCAAAATATTGAACACATTTATATTGGGTGAAAAATTAATTCAGACTGTACATTGGATTACTTAAAAACTAGAATTTACAAAGTCTGCACTAATTTTGCAGCAGACAAAAATGTAAGTGTGCCGCACACATTTTCCAGGTGATATTACAAGTACAGAAATTTGGCAAGTGTGACACTTGACTAAGTCTCAAAAAACTACGCTCAAAAAAGAAAGAAAAAAGTTAGAAGTTTAGAATAGTTTACAACTATCTAGGATAAAGGGTTTTTGATTTGTCATCAGATATCAATAGTATTACTATGTTTAAAGAATATTTCATACAAATTTGGATTTAGTCGACTATTTAAAAAAGAGTTATATCACAATAATTTTTAGTTTAAAATTTTCCCAATTTTGAAAAGGGGTAAATTATCTACATTTTTGGTCTAATTAAGTACCCTCTCTACAGGTATGATTCCTTATCTAAAGACTTGCTAAATGGAGATATCTGTTCAGTGGTTTAAGAGATATCGCTAGACTAGACACAAAAAATTTAATTTATAATAAAAACATACTATTGCAAAAAACCAAAACCTTCTCAGAATAGTATTGAAATATAAAAAGCTTTTCGGTAGGCAAAATATTTATTTCACGCGATTATGTTAAATATGTATGTGTATAAATAAAACAATTTTTAGTCTTGATCCAAACAATAAACGAGTAATGGAGAGCTTAGAAAATATGGGAAAACCGTGCAATACTTCAACAGCAACGTCCACCGATTCTGCTGGACCTGTTTTAAATGGATCTCTTCTGGATGCAACATTCAGTGGCGTCAACAATGTTGAAAATGAATCCACACCGTTTAATGCTGGCCGAGAAGAAGACACTTTTATGGATTCCGATCATGAAGGTTCTGGATCGGACATATCAATATAACTGTAAACATTCTTAGTTATTCGCCAATACAGTGATTTTGAATGAAGTATGCGAAAAATACCAATAAGGATATTTTTATTGATCTGCCTTGTGATTGTGACATGAATAGTGAACTATTTCACCATTTGGACATCTCACAAATGCACTAAAATGTTCATAATTTTAATTTTAGAATATTTTTAGTTATTAATTAAAAATAAATAAATTACCTCTGATTTCCAAATCGTTTTTTACACACTCTACATATGTTGAATTCTGTTAAAGTGATATTCTGAGATTCGTATAATATTCTTTGTTGTTGAACCTGTACGAATTATGAATATTATAAAAATAGCAATTGTTTTTGAAATTGAAGTGAAACTATTATTGTTAAACAATTAATACCTTTAAAAGTTTTGCGTAAAGCAATCCTCTATTAACTTGATAAAGTCTTCTATCACCTAAAGTTTTATTTAAAGCAATTATAAGAAAATTTCTAATACTATAAAGTGGTATTTGATCTGGTAAAACTTTTAAAACATCAGGTGTTGCTATTTGTGCAGCATTTTTGTTTAAGAGTTCAATAACTTTATTTAAATTAGGAGCTGACTTAGTTACGCCTCCTAATCCTGCTAACCAACTGTCTGGAGGATCGATTAGTAATCTCAGTAATGTTACATATATCTACAAATAATTTCAAATATATTAAAAACTAAATAATATACATTTTGTCTACTAATATTCATTATTTACTTGTTCAGAATCTTCATCTTTTGACTTATAAACTTTATCACAATATGAAATAGCTCTGTCTATGTCATTTAACACAGTTACATACATCGATAGGACTTGTTCATGTCGACCTAATTTTCCTAAAACTATAGCTCGTTCTTCAAAAAATCCTGAAAAAAAAATTGTAGATGACCCAAGGGGAATTTTAATTTTGTTAATAGTAGCTATTTGTTACCGTCTAATGGAAAATGCACCAAGACTGTTTCTGGGGTATAATATTTCGATTGTTCTAAAAATTCCATAAGTTTGACCTTTGTGCTATGAGCAGTTTGTTCAACTTGCTTCGATTTACTATCATATTGCTGAAGTTTTTCTCTGTATTGATGAATTAAAGCATTGTGGCATATAGCATTTGTGTCACCCCATACATATATCACATGTTCCAAATAAGGAATAATATGATTTTTGTGATTTCTAATTAAAAAATCTAATACTTTAGGTCTAGGTAAATGTTCGACTTCAGCAATATCCTCTGTAAATATGTTAAGACCTTCTTCTGGGTATTTATTTAACACCCAATCCGAAAATTGAAGAATAATATCTATGTTATTTGAACCTAATAAAATAATATTGTTTTATGACAATACAATATTACCGAATTTCAAAAAAAAAAAAAATACTTGCCAATATTTTGTAAATATTGTATAGTACGCTCAGGTCCTCTAAGGTTAGAATCTGAATTTTCAGATTGTTTTTGCAAAAGTTCTAATGCTTTGCTATGAAGACCTTTAGTCTGATACAAAATTATTAACTCGCTATACTTCTTGTATTTTTTTAAGGTAGCTTCAGTTTCTAACAAATGACAATGGTTTAACCTTAAAAGTGGGGCTATAAGGGCATCATTAGTCTGAAATATGTAAGCAAGTCGTTTTTATTCCACAATGTTATAATTTAAGTTAAATAGACCAATTTACTTGCAAATAACACTTAAGTAGAGTAGTGTCAATAATTTGAAGTAGTTGTTCCTGGTGATTATTACTTGGTTCAATCACACTTGGTAAACCTTTAACAACAGGTTCTTTCAAGAGATTATGTCTCACCTTTATAAATATAGTAAGTTATTAATTTTAAATATTTTTAATTATATATTAGTTTTATTACTTCGGTCAAATATTCAATTAAAGCAACAATTTTTATTTCAGTTTCTTTTTCTAATAATTCTTCTCCGTAGTCCGAATCATTTTGAGGTAAAAGATTTGGAAATAATCTTATAACATCATATGGGTCTAAAATATAATAATGCATTTAAAATTTAAATCAACTTACATATTATTTATATTTTCACCTGTTTTTAGTTTTAAAAATTCTCTCATAGATTCTTGATATTTCTTTTTTTCAAATAAATCGTTAGCGTATAATGTTCTGATTTGAGCTACATTTTTTTCTTTATCGTCAACAGATTCATCAGATATATTCTAGAGAATACCGGTTAATCAATATTAATATTATTATTAAAGGTTTGATTGTTTATTTAGTAATATCGACATTTTTTTTTTAATATCCATATAAAGTTTTATAGAAATCTTTATTTTAACAAGTTGCTAGAGGTTTTACTGAGAACTGACCACACAACCAAAATATATTTCTTATTTCTAAACTTAATGATAAACATTTAATTTTTTTACTAGATTGATATTTAGTGCAAGAGGTCAAATTATATAATGTCGTAATAACATTTTTTAGTTGGTCTACAACTAAAATTTATTTGACATTTAGAAAGTTTTTATCTATAGTTTATAAAAAAAACTGAAATCCTTTACTTTTCTTCACTCCTACACGAAAAAATGAAAATATTTTGGTTTTACACATTAAGGCCAGAACATTTTATTTAAGATCTATGGCAAGACACAAAGTTTGTGTGTCCATTATCAGATTTCTTTCTATTTTTGGTATAATACAATTTTATATGCAAATCATCAAAAAATGTTCCAAACAATCAGCATTTTTCCAACATATTAGATGATTGGATTTTACGCCCTACACCAGTTTTGTCTTAAAATTATTGCAAATTTGTAGTTTTCTTTTAGAAAACATATTTGTTTATACTATTTTACAATATTAGACAGTATTTAAATGTTTATCTTATTTAGTATTTTCTAGAGTTATATCAACTTTTAAAACTTAAACAAAAACATAAATATTTAATTTAATTTTTAAATCAGTTATTTGCTGAACAAATAACTTTAAAGTAATTAAAGTTAAAAATGTATGATAGGAGGTGGAGTGCGGTTAAGTAACTTTATAACTATTAATTCAAAACATGTTATCGATCATTAAATATTTTTAGCAAAATATCATTAATTAAAAAAATGTAATTGATTATGTAAGTTTCAAACGTTGATAAAGCTCCAAAAAATACTAAAAAAAAAGGTAAAAATTTGAATGTTGTTTATTAATGTAATATAGTATAAATAAAAATATTATTAAAAAGAAAAACTACATAATTTTAATTACTTTAAGAGTAAACTAGTGCAGGGCGTTAAAAGAATTATAAGTTATACTAACAGCCAATTTTAAGGCTAATTGAAAATTTTTATCTTCAAGAAGCCGTTTTATTTGTTTAGCAAACGGAACTGCTTTTAAACACCAGACATCTAACGCAGATGAAGCATAAATAAGTCCACTTTGGCAAGTAAACATGTTAAGAGTTTTTGAAGTAGTTGATATGAGTTGTCGTACAACAGAACTTTCACCTGGTTCAATTGTTTGGACATTCAATTTATCACCTATACTTGCTATAAGATAAGGTTCATCATATACTGAAATCATATTACTTTATAAATTAAAAAGAAAAAAGATACAAAGATGTAATACTGTTTTAAAACGTACAAATAATTGATGGTGAATCTGCCCATTTAATAGTTTGTTGTTCAGCTACGTCACCACTTGTACTCATTACTATTATATGGGAATCTTTAACAACGCCAAATTGTGTATCAGATATTTTTGTTATAATAGGTTCTTGATTTTTTCCAGTTAAAAATAAAGGTCTCATTTGTTCCATTGTTACCTAAGATATAAATAGAAGTAATAATAAAAAAAACAATAAGGTAACATTCATTATGCAATGATGTTCTTAAAAATTTTAAATAATACATTTTATGTTTTAAATATTTATGCATTTTACAGTATAATTTTATGCATAAAAACCACAATAAAAAAAACTAACAACACATCTTTATGACACAACTATGAAGGAATCAAACTCTAGTTACAGTTTCAGTACTCTTTACACCAAAGTTCAAACTGCGCCTCACAAAGTGTCCAAAATAATAAATACTATGAATAACAATTAACATTGCCTGGTATTAATACCAATACCAGGCAATACCAATATAAAATTAATCTTAACAATACCGTTAAGATTAATTTTAGTTTGAAGTATTATTAAAAACAATATTATTTATATTTATTTATACTTGTATATGCTAAAATTTAATTATGAAAGACAAATAAGAGTACTTACATCGAATAAATAGTATTCGTTCTTACAACCAATTATGACAGTTTGATCACACCAAACCATTGTACGAGGTATATCTGGTATGTCAAAATTTTCAGAATGCTCCAAAAAATCTCTACCTTTCCAGTGATATACTTGTAATTGTCTTTTGGCTGCAACACATAATCGGACTACGGTGTTATTTGCATTTCCTTGTAAACCAACTGGTGTCTATATAGTTAATTTAAATATTAACAATACTACAATTTATTTGAATTTATTTATTTTTATTAAAATATTTCATAATTACTTTTACATCTAACGTAAATGAAGTGGCACCTTTAGTTTTTTGTAAACCAGAAGTTTTCAAATGTAAAACTTTGTCGCGTGAAATATCAAGTACACTAACTCTTTCATCTAAATAATATAGTTATAAAAAATTATGATTATATTACAGTAATTATTATTATTGTGTATATCATTTTATTGACCAGGAGTAGACTTAATGGCCTATGAGGAAAATAGGAAGTCTCTCTCTCTCTTTACAGTTGTCTGTCCAAAGAGAGAGACCACCCATAGCCGAGTGTTGAACCTGCAACAGTGAGAATTAACACACTCCCACCTTATTCTATTCAGCCACTCGTCCTATACTATAAAACAACAAAATATAAATTATTTAACATTTTACCTGACAAACAAATAACAATTTGACATTCTGGTACAGAAGCTAACTGCAATATGGGCCTTTTGCTAAATGTTTTGTTACAATCAACAAGCTGAACTCTAGGACTAGTTGTATATAAAAATATATGACCCTGACGATTACCAACTAGCAAATAATTATCTAGAAAACAAAATCGAATCAAATTTAAGTTCTATTATTCTGCCCAGCTAGCAAAGAAGGCCGTACATAACAAATATTGAAAAATGAGAGTTTATACAGAAATATTCAAATTTACAACCATAACAAACAAATTTAGAAAAATGCTTTTCCTCGAAAATATCAACATGATGCCATGATGCATATGTAGTATGTACGCCTTTACTAGCAGAGTAGTATTTATACATTGTTTTAAATTTTAAAGCCCATCAAAACACCCTTTGTCTTTTATTTAAAAAATGACACTCTCAGCATAAAAAACTAAAAAAGTATTAAGGAGATTTATAAAAAAATTGCGAAAAGATAGAATAAGTAAAATTGCCCCTTCTTGACTCAAACCAAAGAAATATTTGAAGACTATGCTGCTTTAGATAGAAAAGTAATAACAACTATAAGTTGTTTTTGAGGAATCACGTTTTGAGTATATTGGTTTATTATTTAACATGAAAGATGTACATTTGGCCAGTGGCACAGTTATGAATTATTTTTGAGAAAAGCTTTATGAATAATTTATAAACAAATAACATTTCATTTAATATTTGAAACTAAATTACAAATTAATATTTATAATTGCAATAATAAATAACCTAACCAGAAAAAAAGAGTTGATTCACTTATTCTTACAAAAATTTAAGCTGTATTTAATGAATATTTTGGTAATGCATTAAATGTTATAGTTAAATTTCTAACTAAAATTACTAGGAAAAACATTTTTATAGATTGCATTACCATAAGCTGTAATACTTTCGATTGGAACTGAATATTTTAATAGCTTGGATACTTCATATACCTCATGCATCTTGATGTTAAAATCTGTAACATATGAAAAGCAAAAATTAAAATTATTATTGATTTTGAAGTAAACTTTTAACAATTTTTATCTTAAAAGCTTATTGAATAATACGATACTATAATTCTCTAAATAAATATTGCATATTTATAAAGTGTTTAACTTAGCCAAAATTTTATAGATAAGTACTTTATTATCAACCAGGATCGGCATTGCACCTAAGGCCTCATACTATAAATCATTAAAAGGGCTCTCCCAAAAAATGTTATTTGTAGATTTTATATACTTTACATAATTTACAGTTGTTTTTCCCTAGCAAACCCCGCACATTGTGTGAAATGCCCAGGCCGAGACTTTTGGAGTTTTATGGCGCTAGCCAGGCCGACCCTGCATTTAACTAATAATAATTGTATTAATATTAAAATATTACATTAACTATATAAAATATATTATTTGACTTAATAAATACTTTCTGATTTTGTTTTTGTCTCTGTTGCACCAATAAAAAAAAATATATACATAAATCTTCATCAAGCTTAACTTTAAGAACCAACGCTACCATTATGAGATGATGGTTTCTAGACGAATTCGCTGTCTGGGCCGGGCCGTGAGTCCATCGCCGGAGAGGGGGATGGTGGTTTCTTTTCACCGGATGATTGCTCGACCGGCAAACAGAGGGCCCGTGACCGAGTGTCAAACCAGCGACAGTGAGTGCCAACACACTGCCACCTTACCCACTCGGCCACTCCTCTCCCACTTAATATATATGATCATCTCCGAAAATATATTTAGCAATACTTTTTTGACTGCTATTGAACTACTAATTTTTAATTTAAATATTTTATCTTAAACAACGAATATACCTACATACAATAAAGTAGCTGATAATTTATTGAATCCCAACGAATATTTTACACACAAGTAGGTACAACACAAATAATTAAATTTTTTAATAGTAATAAAAGTAAGAATAACTAGACATATACATAATAACAATGATTATATTAAATTGTTATTAATAAATAGTTTTATTTAATATTTGAAAATATACTAAAGCTAATATTAAATAATATTTAATAACTATTTTAGGAATTATAATTATTGTGATAAGATAACGCATGTTGTGAAGATAACAACGACTATAAATCCAAATACCTATTATTTACTCTGTGCTATAAATCCACCTTGTTAACCACAGCAGCTATTGATACCACAGCCGTGATTGTGTCTAATCTGAATTCTGTGATAATACCTATCATATTTTTCAAGGGAATAGGGATATCGGCAGCAGCTGTGTTACAAAAGATTGAGTATTAACTATTAAAGTTATAGCACAGAAATCAGAATTTATTATTCTGTGGTTTTGGTCCCGGTTCCCGCTGTTGGCCAGGACTGTTTTCGTTATCATAAATTTAGCGGTGGGCGGTGGATGGTCACAGAAATATATGTCTGTGTGGCTGGTTGGTTAATATCATGATATCTGAATAATATAAATGTTTTGTAATCATATTTTATTGTTTCATCCAGTGAAAATTGCGTGGCTGATAAACAGTTGACTTACCTTGTTAGTTATATCATGATAGTAATAACTAATAACTAATATAGCCTATAAGTACCTATTTGTAGAGTAATATTACTCTATGCTCTATGGCACTAATCAAGTTCTATAGAGTATGGCCTATACTACAATAAAGAGTGCACAACCCGCTAATGAGCTCTGGTTGTAGTAACTAGTATCTTACACATCTTGATTCATCAACATCTTGATTGTATGTATAATGGGTCGCCTTTTTTGTCCCAATTATTATATTACATTGATAGCCCTATTCAACTGGATGGAACAAATATGGCAACTCGAGAAGTTGTGAAAGATAATCAATTTTTGTTCACGATAATACATGTATGTGCCGTCTAAAAAATTTCAATTTTATCATAATTTGTTCTCGCGCGCGAATATTACTATTTAAAATATATTCATGTGCCGTGGCACAAACTACGTTCTAAGTAGGTACTTAAATACTATATTTGTAAGTTTCATTTTAGTGGTTAAATCTATTTAGTGGTTATCTATTCTGTGGTTGAATTATACATTATAATCATTATTAATTAATAACCTGATTGCGGAAAAGACCGAAAAATTATAAATTTATTATATCGGACAAAAAATCACTATTTCCAATATTTAAAAGGTATAACGAGTTTTATAAGTATTGAAGAAAATACACAATATCATTAAAATTTTGCAATTGTAAACTAGATCTCGCCTAAACGTGGTGACATCAGACATTTCATATTTTTTTTAAAAAGACCTTTGGGCTTCGACGGCTGACGCCACAAATATAATTCATCGTTCTTCGTGTTCGTCGCGTAACTATTTTTAAATAGCTTATACGGAATAGAATAGATGAGTAACCGTGGAGATAATTAGAGTGGGCGTGACTGGGAGTGACATTATAGTGATAACAGGAAAACTGCGAGTTGTGACTCGTGACATTCTTGATTGTGAGATTTGAGAATTTTAGACTAATTACAGTTTGTTGTGGATTGTGTATCGAGACATTATTATTATGCGATGAATATTTTTTATCACAATAGCGTAAGTTTGATAATTTGGGACTCTTATTTATAGTACAAACTCGTAAGGTCAAATATTGGTTCCCTTAAAAACATTTATACCAATTTAACTTGAGTTACTGAGGTAAAAAAAATCAAAACTTAATTAAATTGTCAAAAATCCTGCGAAATCCCTTTAAAAGGGCTCCCGCATCCCAAAAAGATTTAATTTTACGTTCATTGACTCCGGTAGTGGTGGCAGCACTTACACCAAGGTTGTTTGGGCGGCACTTCATTGTACCTCCCTCCTTATCCCATCCTCTCCACCGTCCGCCACCCCCACACCAGTATCTAGACTCCGTCAGGCGTCATCGTTTATCACGTCCTAGTCCCAGTCGAGTCACAATCTGCTTGCGCGACTTCGTGGGGATAGGCTCGAGCTGTGAATTCAACTTAATTTAAAACACCAGGTCACCAAATACTCGGCGCAATAGAGACTACTATGCGTGTTAACGCTGGTCTTTAGTACGCTGTTCGTATTTGGCTCATTGAGCGAATAATATGTGTGCATAAGGTGAGTGGCTTATAATTGGAACCAGACGTTTTATTATTTCTACTATACTTGCATACTACTTTTTTTTTGTTTATCGTGGATGTCTATTGTATGGTTTTTGTCTTAAAACAATTAACAATATTTGTATTGCCTTAGTAAGCCATGAGTTATCGGAATCGACTATCCCGCGTCGCCAAGAATAATAACGAACCATCGCCAAGGAACAAAAACATTACTAGACACGACTGTTGTGGCGCCAGTAAATTGCGAGCAAGTAGTGTAGAACACGATCGAATCAATGGCAACCACGAAGTACACAGAAATTCTACTTCTGTAGATAGGGTGTTAAATATTAATAGAAATTCCAGGTAGTTTCGGTCTATCCAAAACTGTGGAATCGAGTTATATAACGATCCCTACAATTACAGATTAAACCAATTGACAAGCGAGTCTACCTGTGCAGCTAGTTGTAGAACTCCATTAAGGAATTCTACAAAAACGACTTTAAGCCGCTCCAGTCTGAATTCTTCGAGTACTCCACTGAGAAAGGTTAATATATCTGTTTATAAGTTGGTAGTTTCTATTTCAATAACCACACTGCGTAGGTGTCAGCACGAGGACGAGGAGCAGCAACACCTTCTCCTCGTTTTAGACGTGAAACAACCTCGTCAAAGAAAATTGAGGATAACAAATCAGATAAGGAATGCCAATCTTCTCCTACAGACATGCCATCCAAACAATCGTATCTCTTTTCCCAGAATTATTATGACAATAGCTCTTGTTCTGTGGAGATTATAGAAGAATCATGCTCTCCACAAATAACATTACCAATACCAACTGAAATATTAAATACTAAATCGGCAATATTTAATCGTTCTGATGATGATGAAGAAAAAGCGACTGGAATATCACCAGATGGAAGGTAATGTAAATAATGTGTGTACGGTATACAAATAACTTAAAATATGTATTAGATTCCTTAAGTTTGATGAGGAGCTAGGCCATGGTTCTTTTAAAACAGTTTTCCGGGGTTTGGACACTCAAACTGGTGTTGCGGTAGCTTGGTGTGAGCTTCAAGTAATAATAAGTAAGTCTGTGCTATTAAAAACATGCTAATTTAATGTTATTTTGTTATAAGGAAAATAAGCTGACAAAAACTGAACGTGCTCGATTCCGTGAAGAAGCTGAGATGCTTAAAGGTTTACAACATCCTAACATAGTTCGTTTTTATGATTACTGGGAAGTATCTTTGACAAAACGCAAATATATTGTACTTGTCACTGAACTTATGACATCTGGCACACTCAAAACCTATTTACGTCGCTTTAAAAAAATTAATCCCAAAGTACTCAAATCATGGTGTCGACAGATAGTAAAAGGACTAAGTTTTTTACATTCGCGCACACCCCCAATTATTCATCGTGACTTAAAATGTGATAACATTTTTATAACTGGTACAACCGGTTGTGTAAAAATTGGAGATTTAGGATTAGCTACTTTAAAAAATCGATCATTCGCAAAGTCTGTTATTGGTAAATCACATTCGTAATTAAATAATACTTAAATCATAATAATAAATAAATATTTTATTATAGGTACACCTGAATTTATGGCCCCAGAAATGTACGAAGAACATTATGATGAAAGTGTTGATGTCTATGCCTTTGGAATGTGTATGCTTGAAATGGCCACATCTGAGTATCCTTATACAGAATGTACAGGTCCCGCTCAAATTTATAAAAAAGTGATTAGCGTAAGTTGTGCTGATTAGTTGTATTAAAAATATTAGTCATCATTATTACACCTTTTTTTTTCAGGGTGTAAAACCATTAAGTTTTGATAAAATAGAAAATCCTGAAATTAAAGATATTATAGAGTCATGTATTAAATTAAAGAAAGAAGAAAGGTTAGTTATTTAAAAAACTTATTTTTCATAGTTTATTAAGGATTTCATTTTTAGTGGCTCACCGTTAAGTGTGAGACACTATAGAAGTTACACTGTCGTCCATGTTTGTCCGTCCCCATTTGCATCTTTATCTCCATGTCCATCCCCTCATTTAAAACTAAAAACCAAAACAGAATGAGCAAAAGGTTTAAACTAATCAAAAACATCTCTAACTTTGATCATATTTTATAAAAAACTAAAACTAAATTGTTATCTGCAGACAAGGTGAGCCACGTGAAATTAGATATTGAGAAACTCGTTTCATCATAATTGATATTATTGAGAAAATTGTTAATGGTGTTTTAAATATCTAAAAATGTATAAAATAAAGTTACTTTGGCAATAATTTACTTTCCCAGACACCATTTTTTTTTGTCATCTATAGTGTTTTTTTATACTGATTATAAATCTGGTCAAAAGTCGGCAAACTTTTCTAATTCAAAAGTTATAGCTACTTGTACATTTAACTTTTCCGTATATATAACAGTTGCCAAGGGGCGCAGGCAACTGATGTGTGCAATAGTAGTGGTCAGTGAACATTAGTGCCTAGACATTTACATAAGCCTATCACTTTGTCATTTTGAAAAGTAGGTTAGGTTGGGTCCTAGAGCCGATAGGCGTAGGGAGTGGTTTTATGTAGTTATAGGTTTATATATTTGCCACAATTTTCATTTTAAAAAGGTATTTTTTGCAAATTTTTTCTTGTTCTAACAAACTACTGCATTGAGTGTAAGTATGTAAAATGATTATTGCCCTGCCCTCTGTGGTAATTTTTTTTTTTTGCTACAACTGAGTTGGTATAGTATTATGATCATGGTAATTTATTGATAATAAATTTTAAAAAAAATGCTGTGTTTTTCACTCTGGATTTGCTTCACCGACAACAGCTGTATGGTGCGCGGCCACCAACCTTCTTCCGCTGCCTACTGTCATGTGTGTGGAAAAGTTCAAAGTTAGGGTAGCTATAACTGTTAAACTAGAGTAGCCCGTCGATTTTGATTTAAAATTTGTAATCAGTGTAAAAAAAACCCTACAAGATGACAAAATAAAAATTGGAAAAAAAAAGAGTGTCCGGTAAAATAAATTTGTTCCGTTATTTTTATCAAATAACACTAGTGGTTTCTTAAAATCAGCACGGCATAAGACCTCTCTCTTAAACATTTAGGAAAACAGTATTTATCTATAAAAAGATAGTGCATTCATTTGATTATGATTATGTATTTTTTATATTTTTAGACCATCAATTAAAGAATTGCTAGCACATGATTTTTTCACGGAAGATCCTGGTATTAAACTTGAAATGGTTAGCAGAACGGATAGTCGTATTGAATTTCGTTTACGTGTTCTTGATCCAAAGAAACGCTGTAGTAATAAACATCGAGAAAATGAAGCGATACAATTTGATTTTGAAATTAATAAAGACAATGCTGATGATGTAGCTTCAGAAATGGTAACAATAAAAAATAGTTATTTGTATATTTTATTTGATTAATAGTTTTATTTATATTTGGCAGGCCAAATCTGGATTGATTTTGGAAGAAGATAGCAAAATCATTGCCAAGATGTTAACCAATCATGTTTTAAATTTGAACAAAGAACAAAATGACAAACGAGATGTGCCAATTGATGAGGAACTGTTTAAAGGCAAGTTTTGTTTTGAACATTCTTATTTTCACTGCTATAATAGTGCCTAAAATGGTAGTTATGTTCTCAAATTTTAATGAGTTTTATTTTTATATAGATGAAGCAAGTTCAGATTTACATGGATCACAATTTCGTCAGCCAGAAACTGTTGTAATGTATCAACTCCCAAGATTCAACAATCAGGTACTATTTTTTTTTTTTTATTAAATTATTATTATTAATAACAATTTATTTGAGTATTCCGTTTTGATTGTGTCATATTGTAGATACTGTTATATTTAATAATTTGACAATTTCACTCAAAAGAAAGCCTGAAAACTATATTTTTGTTTATGAATAGTTAATATTCTAAAATTATTTTTTCTTTAACTTACCACTTCAATCAACAATAGCCAATAAGAAATCCCTAAATGTTCAGATCCCTAGCTCAACTTTTGTACTTAAAAAAAGTACTTACTTCCTCATGATTTTTTTAAAAAAATTTAGTATTACATGGGAAATTTTATCTTTTAATTAAAAGATTGCAACTTTAATACTTAATACTAATCAAGTTTTTTTCTGAATTTAGAAAAGATTATTAAAGTTGAAATATGACTTGTCATAATCCCTCTCTTGGTATTTCATCATACATTTTTTTTTAATCAAATTACAGAATTACCTATTGAATTTTGTTATTTCATTGATTTTATTATTTTTAATCTCATTTTCAAAATACTTAAAGTTAGTTGAGTTAGGAGTCCGAAAGTTGATTTTTAATTTTCTTACTTGAATTGGCTACTGTCGGTTAAAAGGATAAGCTGTAGAGGAAACAAAAAAAAACAGTAATATACATTTATATATTATATTATTGTTGATTAGAAATTATTACTCATAAATGCTTACATAATAAATATATGTATACAAATTTAAAAAAAAATCTTTATCTATAGGACGAAGAAAATAACAAGAGTGAAAATCAATCAGTATCTACAAAACCACATTTTATTAAACCTTCAAGTGAAATTAATGTGGCCGAGCTCATAAATCAAGATCAAATACAGACATCACCATCAAAAAGTCTACCACTTCGGCCAGTTGATGCTATATGTCAACAAGACAACTACAGAAAAATATCCAACATTTCTACAGCATCTTCTGATTCAGCTTACACGTCTGATACAAATATGGCTTATAAACATCTCATTGATCTCAATCAAATGCCAAATACAGTAGAAGTTGTACCAGAAGGTTATAATGTACAAAATGGAAATAATAATATATACCCTCAAGAACAAACAATGTATCAGAATATAGAGCAAATTATAAATCAAGAAGGTTTAAACTATATTCCAAATGCTTCTACACAATGGAATTATCCTATAAATACCATTCCTAATCAGCAAACTATTGATGATGAAATGCAAAGAAAAATTTCTACAGTGTCTTCAGTCTCGAATTTATCATCATTATCGTCAGACTCGGTTCAGGGACTCGTACAGCAAGATATCCAACATCATGCTATTATACACGAAGAAAACGCTTCTCAGAGTAACCATAACTTGTTTGTACAAAGTCAAGATGGAATAAATGCAACTCAATGTGCTGAAGCTATTAATTGTTACAAAGCCCAATCTCCATCCAATGAAATATATCCTACGAACGCACAACTTTATCAAGAAAACCAAACATATCCAATTTATAATCAGACTACTAATTTCCTTGAAGATTCAAAGTTAATTGAAGAAAAAACAGATGCTGAATCTACTACAAATATTGTTGAAAATGATGTTAAGCAGTCTCAACGGTAAGCCTTAGTTTTATACTGTTTTATATTTTATACTTTTTACTGTCTATTTTTATTCTAAGATTTATGTCTAAGATAAATAATCTTACAAAAACATATAGGACAGACCATATATTGGAAGAGACATCCGTGATAAAAGACGCAGCAACAAGAAAGAAAAGTAGAACTTCAGGACCATCGTTGAATTTATTAGCCGTATATGATAATCGTCAAGCGGAATGCCAATTAGAGAGTAATAAGCATAAAACTGTGACATTTAGATTTAATATTGATGACGTGGTTCCTTACGATGTGGCTAACAAGCTGGTAAGTAATTTTTAAGATTAGTAGCGTGAAATATAATTGTATTTTTATATATTGTATTAATAGGTCACAGAAAATTTATTAGAGGCATCTCATGTTGATTTGGTGGCTGAAATGATGAAGGACGTAGTAAATAAACTAAAATTAGACATGCAACCAAATATTCAATCTGTTGATTCACTCCCAATTCCAAAACAAGAGGTTTGTATTGAATAGAATATTAATAGATATGTATTTTTATTAATGTTAGTGATTTTTTTAAACATAATATATAATATAATTAAATATAATATATTACTTCAATTAAAATGTTTTAAATTATTATTTTTCTATTACAGATTGAAAGAGTACCAACAAGTATTTTGGAATTAGAAAACACAAATTCTAATGAAACTCCTACTGAAAATCTTAAAGATGTTGAAGAAAAGTTGTCAGAAACAGAAAAGAATAAACCTGTAAGTTGTAGAAGTTGTTAAAAAGTGTTCGGTTAAGTACATAAAATATGTTTTTCACGTCATAAGTATTTAAATTTAAATTTAGGTTAGGAAAATATCTAGGTTTTTAGTGAGTCCAGTAATTGCTCTACAAGCTAATGAAGAAGTGAGTATCAACTTTATTAATAATATTTTTTTAAGTTTTAATTATGCTTTTCATTGCTCTTTAGAACAACAGTGATAAAAATACATCAAAACAAAATGAATTATTGAGTCCCGAATCACTTCATAAAAGTATTCTTAATGAAATGATTACTTTGGCTAGCACAAATACTCAACACTTGCCATTGTATCCATTGATTACAAATGAAGATACTGTATCCAATCCTGACTTGAACTCTTCTCAGTTATTTGAGTCCAAAGCCCAAACTCAAATTTCAACTGATACGTTAGTACTTTTTTTTTTTAATATTTACTATATTCTACATTTGTATGGACATTTAAGTTCCTAAACCTTTTAAAACTTTTTTTGTTTTAATTTTATTGTATCCATCTCTTCCCTCTTGCCAATATACATAGCTTGTGTATGGCAAGGATGAATATTGATGTATGTTATATGTTTTGCGTTGTGAGGTAATCGAACGAGATACAACTAATACAGACTTTGACACCTTATACCACAGCACCATAATCCATATTGACATACTTTGAACACTTATTTTAACCAAAAATTAAAATTCTATTTTTAAATAAAAATGTAATAATGTAGAAACCAGAAAGGAGGATCTTTGACTATATCTGAACTCCAGCAAAAACTAATACAACTTACAGCACAACCGTCAGAAATATCAACTGGTACTCCACCAATTGGTTCTCATCCGAGCACACCTCATGCAAACAGTTGTTATGAGTCTTATATGAACACTCTTCAAAAACGGTTGGCTTCAATATCTATGCCAGCTGGACACATACTTGTACGTCTTTTATTTATTTATCTAAATACATATCAATTATCTTATTTTTATAATGTATTTTTTTGTTATAGGGGCCCTTGTCACCACAAAGTACTTTACACGCAATTAGCTCTGCAACTTCTAAATTGAAAATACCATCTGCTATTGAAGTTATAAAACCTATGCAGCCCGTGGCCATCGGCGTTGAGGAAATACATATTGGTGATGAAGTTGGCCCAATAGTAGTGCATGCTGTCCAAGCCCAATCTATTATGACTGGAAATGAAGTTCCTCAACACGTCATTATGCCCAATGAGAATAAAGATCAACAAACAATGGTGGTTCAACCATTACCAGGCCATTCAGTTATGGTTCAGTCTGTCCCTGTACGATTTATCCAGAGTCAAGACACTACTGTATATGTAAACAATATATTAACGTATTTCTGAAATACAGGTGCGGCAGAGCTGTCTGACGATTTTTGAGGGGATAAATAACGAATAATAAAACTGGGAGAAAAGTGATTTGAAGTCAGCAGCAATACTGCAATCTCTGTAGTTTATGTATGATCTTTGGCACATTTCGACGGGTATGGCCATGATTTCATGAGTGATTCTCTCCTTCAGGTCTTCTAAGGCATGGGGCGATATTTGAAAACCTTATCCTTAAGGAAGCCACAGAAAAAAAATATAGCACATGCTCAAATCAGGAGAGTTTACTCATCGATCTCTGGATCTGTAAATAAACAGAATTTTCCACAAAAAAGCCCACTCCATTCCCCTAAAAGTGACAGTGTGATGAGATGTGTCCCAATTTGGGGTGATCAGCCTGTACTTTTTTGAGGAGGATAACAAGATCGCTCCAAAGGTGTTCAAACATCGCCCATATCCCTTAGAAGACCTAAAGGGGAGAATCACTGAAGAAATCATGGCCATACCCATCAAAATGTGCCGACAAAGATCATACATAAATTTCAGAGATTGCAGTATTGCTGCTGACAGACGCCATTTTGGAGATATAATTTTTAAAATGGGATTTCCTACTAATTTTAATAAAACAAACCCCTTTTCTCCAAGTTTTATTTTGTTATTTATAGCCCCTCAAAACACGTCAGTCAGCTTCATTGCATCCTGTATGTTTAAATAAAACTGTAATAACATTTTTCTTTTTATATAGGAAAATGAAACTTCTCCTAACACTCAGAAAGATGATACAAGAGAACGGAAAATAAGCCGTGCCCAGTCTGTAGATTTACATAGTTTAGAACAAGTAATTACTATAAATAAAAACCAGAGTAACTTTGTGAAAATATTATAATCGTATATAATAAAGTCTTAAGGGCTTATCGCGGTACACTATATTTGAACTTGGAAAAGAAAATATAATGCACTATATTTTTTAATAAAACCTAATCCACTAAAATAATACTCTTATAGAACATACATATTTCGTGTCGACGATCAGCAATGAATGTTCAACAATGTTGTCGAAATACATATTTGCTTTAAGTGTATTATTTTTGTGGATTGGGTTTTATTATAAATATAAATAATTACTTATTATCACACAACATATATAGGTACAAATTATATTTAAATACTAGCTTATATGAGTTTTTGAAAAAAAGTATTTTTTATTAAATATGAGTAATTTTTTGAAAAATATTTATTTTTCATGTAAAATAAATATTATTATTTAAATAAATGAAATATTACAGTAAGGAACAAAAAATCGAAGAAAAAATCCTTTGACAAATATTAAAAAACTGGGTTGGGATTAAAAAAAAAATTGTTTTTGCTAACCTAAAAAGTTGTATAATGTATTACGGTAAGTAACTGAGTACTATGTATTTATAAATAAACTTTTTTTCTAGAAACTATCAAGTATTCATAGTAATACATATAAAAAATACTTTACAAATTCGCCAATTCATCAAACATTTCAATCCTCAGATCAAAATTTGGTACAATCAATGGAACCAGATATTTCTTGTGATAATAATCCACCTGTATCATATTCGGTACTTGGAAATTTAGTCTTGTGGTTTTTTTTTTATTGTCCAAATGTATTCTTTTTTTCCTTTTAGAGTGATGACATAATGACAGATCAAAAGGAATCACAAGGTAGTCAAAATACAGAAACTTTCAAATGTTTAAATATTTCTGAAACCCCACAATCGGCTAAGTTCAATACGTCTGTAACTCCATTAGACTTGCAGAGCGTATTGCAAAGGTTGGTAGTGAAATTGAATAAAATAATTTGTATTTTTCATTAGTCTTCCAGTTTTTAATGTTGTTTCTTTACTTAAATATATTTTAATAGCAGTGTTTTATTTTTTTAGGCAATGGTTTGAACTAGAGAAATTACGTAAACGTCACATAGAAGAATTGAAAAGTTGTATGCAAACTTTAAGACCAGATAGCCTTCAACCTACTATACTTTACGAAGCTTTATCACCACTATCCAATGCTGGTATTTAAACTTAAAAGAAATTAGTAATTTTTTAGGTCTTACAATTAAAATACAAAAATACGTGTAAATATACCTATGTATTTTTAAGGGTACTTTTTTAAATTTCTTATTACTATGAATTCTGTGTACCTTTATATATTTTTATTATTAGCTTAAAATCATAATTTGTCTACTATACGTTGTACAAATTTATTTCAGGAAAAAAAATAAATAGCGATGCTAGCAGTAACTCAAGATCAACATCACCAACAATGGACAATGGAGTAATGCAGTTTACGCCAACTGGTTTGTACTTCTTACCAGAGTCTGTAAAGTTATTGTCATCATCTTTGGCCGACTCGCATCATCACCCCACTTAAAAATAATTTGCAAAAAAAGAGAAAAATACTAAATAATAATGTCTTAAGCGTTCTTTTAATAATTCATTACTTATATTTTTTAATTAAATAATGTCTATTGTAAACGCTTTTAATTTATTATTATTTTATTTTATGTAAGTTCCTTAGAAAATTGTATTAATCAAATATAAAATTGTACTGTTTAATTTGTCAAAAATATATGTTATACCTGCACATATATTTAAAAGATTGCATTGTATAACATTTAATGAGTGCTTTTTACACTCAATCCATAACTAACATCTTTATTATAATAATATAATTTTAACAAACTATTATGTTATATTTTTAAAGACAATATGTATTGTATTTTATTGCAATATTTGATCCATTTTTGTCTACTTTATTATTATTACTATTTACAGTTCGCGTAATCTTAAGATTGTAAATTGCATATTTAATGAAATTCGCGTAGTCTAGTCTAATTAAAGTGATTTTGTACATCTTACATTATAAACTCAACATACAAATTATTAGCAAAATACCAGTGTAATATACAATTTGTTAGTATTTTTTTAGTATCATAAACAAAAATTAAACAATTAGTATTTTATTTTGATTCTTAACAACAGTCTATTTTATTACTACAATAACATTTATATTTATTAGAATTTTAGAGAACAGGAATATTTATAACTGAAAATTGATTATTTTTCAATACTATTTCAACTTGTAGGTAATGCAAATTTTATGTTTTTTTTTTCATTTTCTCTTGAGTTTAACATCAGTGGGCTAAGTAACGACCAACACACTGAAAATTTAATTTTGAAACAAATTCTTTCTACATATATACTAGTATCTCCACAAAATATTAAATAGTCGCACTAGCTACAATCTCTTAAAATTTTTACCAGTTCAATGAAATTATATAGTCAACTCTCCAGCCCTAAGAAATCGGTACCGAGTGTTAGAAAAGTTGATGGACGTATTATGACAAATAAAGATTTTAAAAATGCCGAACGTAGTAATTAAGGAGATATTAAAAAGTATACCGTAGATCATAATTAAGGAGGATTTGTTTTATACCATGTAATATATTATATTAGACCATATTCATTAGTTAAAATTTAAATATTAGTTACTATATATATTTATTTAAAATCCACCTTTTCGGTTGTCAGTAATCCACGTTAAACATGTTATGACGTAAGGTTATTAAATCATCTATTAACCTTGGTCGTGACGTTCCGTTTATTTGATAAAACTAGGAAATGTCCAATTTACAGCTGATTAATGATAACAACCTATGATAGCTGATAGTTTTTATCTGTCATCAGATAATAAAAAGACCAGAATGATACAAATTAAGTTATACCCTATAGGTATCAAATACTGATATTTTGAACAACATTTCTACATGGTCGTGGCTTAGTAATTTTATACTTTGTGAATAATACGTTTTTATTATTTAAAATGCAACTTATTTTATATATTTTATTTTCATATACTAGTGCATATAGCTTTATTCATAAATAATATTTATTTGTCTTATTAACACGATATCAGGTCTAACACATATCATGTAGATTATAGATCTCATGAAAATAATTTGTATTTTTATACAATTACAAACTGTTAATAATTTATATTAAACATTTGTCTACTTTACAGCTTGTATACAGGAAATGTTAGCTGGCCTTAATATGGTGTACAAATATCACCTCGTACTTTAACAGGTAATGTAAGGTTTTTATTTTTGGTTTATTCGCCAATAGGTATTAGATGAGGATATAACTTTGGATTAACACATTACAATTTACTGTACATAAAACTTGTTGAAATAAGGAAGATATCTCACACCACCTAAAACCTTTAAACAACTGTTGAAGTATTACTCGCTTGGAGCAAACTTAGTGTTTTGTTGTGAGTGCTTCTAACCTATTTATTACTTCATTAAACCAAATGTTCAAAACTGTCATTTAACAAATCAATAATTTTATTAAATTATTTTATAGACTTACTGTAATAGTATATTGTAAAATGCATCTTACTTATAATAAAATTAAGAATTATCCATTTTTTATTTATATATTGTGGTTTTATGTGAAAAAAAGGTGAAAAATCAATAATTAAAAACTTTTCAAGAAGTAGAAAATACAGTTTTTTTTAACTGAATTATTAAATAATTTAGTCAATAAGATAATTGCTTCCTTACAATTGTCTTATTGATTAATTATATTACCCATAATAATTTTAATAGTATAGTCACAACAGCGTAACAGTGAATATCATTCTAAAGATGAACTTTGTAATGAGTACTAAATGTCAGCAAAAAAACTGAAGATATGGATACATCTGAAAATTATATACATAATTGCTTTACAGTTGTTTAAAATATAAAGAAGTCTTATGTTATACATTTAACATTTTAATTTGTTTAGTAATAATATTTTTATATTAAGCTAGTATTTAGTACTTAATATTATGTTTCAAAATGCATAGTATTTCCTTAAGTAATTGAATATTAATTATTATTCTAATATAGTCACTAGATTTGTAATAATCATAATTCAATATGATGTATTATATTTTAATTAAACTGCTATTTTCATATTTTATGGCGTTGTATTATATTTCTTATAAATTGCAATTTATTTCAAACTCGTCTCACTTCTTAAAATTAGTATTTGAATAGCTTTTTTTATTTATAACTGCATTGTTTTGCTATATATGTTGTGCAATATTTGTAATTCTAACTTTTTATGTAACATAAATTATACTAATGCCAATTATTTATTATTAAACAGATGAGCCAAGTACTATTGACTTAGATGCTGGTAGCTCAAAACAAGAATTGAATGTTAGTAAACCTTCTGAAGTACAAATATCTGCCCATTCATTAAATGATAATGAAGAATCTGAATTAACATTTGCTCAGGCGGATTGTAGAGTTTGGGTGAAACCTGCAGATGTATTATTTACAGATAATATCAAAGATGAATTAGAGTTCCAGAGTGTAGTTGAAGTTAAAGATGAAGAAATTGAAGAGAAAGACATGAAAATAATTGAAATTGAACAACGTGAACCTCCCAAAGCCATTGCTATTGACAACCAACCTCAGAAATTTGTTATACCAAAATTAAAAAAAATTAACTCATTTATTAATGAATCTATTACAAAAAGAAAGAAAAGAAATGTTAATAAATTAAGAACGAGCAGACCTAGACCTATATTGCCAATGACACAAACTGTAACTTCTACAAATCACCCACAATTAGATCAAACTTCTAAGCCAAGTCAAATTATTATGCCTTCGCCTCAAATGCCTGGGATTTCTTATCAAATTATTCTTGGAGATCATAAAACGGCAAATACTAATAATCAAGTTCAGTACGCAATGCTACAACCACAACCTCTATTCTTACAACAAACGCCTACGTCAGTTACATCTTCTTCTATGGTAATTAATCAACCATCGCAAGGTATGGTAATTAACCAACCTTATCAAATGATCCAAACCACTGCCCAACTTCCAAGTGCTAATAAAATTGTAGCTCATGATTATTGTACATATTGTTTTACAGTTGTGAACAATATGAATGAGCATGTAATGGAGTGTTGGGCCAACCCTAATAGTAAAAATTATAAATTTAGAAAAATTGCACCATCTAAATCTTAAATTTGTATTGTGGTGTAGGCATTTCCAAGTTATTATTTATTAATTTCTTACTTTTAGTTTGGATAGTCAAATATATCACGTTAGCTACCATGAGGATCACAGGTATTTCTCACACAGCTCACAGACTTAACTTGTGTACTTGACATGTTAAAAAAAACTTCTCATTGCGAGATTTTTAAGGTTCACTGGTGTGACAAGAAGACTAATGATTCAAAGTTGCTATTGGTCTGCTAACATAGTTCATGTGAGAGACGCCTGTGTTTCTCATGGTATATAAATACATTTTTTTGTAAATGGGTCTGGTAGCCAATGTGATATTTTAGAAAATAAAAATTACATTTATTGTACCTGTTAAACTGTGTATCGTTTTTTTCATTGTAAATGTACGTACCACCTAGTAGTATTGTTTTAAGAATAATACACATTGCGTTAAAATAAGTAACATAATTATTATTATAATAAATATTATACCTGTATGTTTTTTATAATCAATGAGTACTAATATATTTGTCTGAATTTATTTTGTTGACAATTTTTAATTATGTCAATATTTTATTCACTTTTTTTTATTAATGTAATTTTTTACTAATATTTTGAAAATTTACTCAACAAACTGTTACTATTATAATATAAAAAAGGTTAATTAATTAAAACACTCTTTTACAAATATTATACTTACTGATTTTGTTTTGTTACTTTTTTTCGCTTACAAATTTGTGATAATTAATGACTAGTTGTTTTAATTGAAGTAGTGAAAACTAAAAGATGTTTAATTATTAAAATACTTACATTTTATGAAATTTAAAGTTTATTATATTACATAAGGTTTAGTTAATCTTAAATGTATATACTCGTAATACTAATAATAATTTATTATTGTCTAAATTCTAGTACTTCATCGTGTTTGTTATAGGTTTTAACAATGCTATACAATATTATCAATAAATCAGTTGAAAATTATTTTTACTTATATTGATAGAATATTGCTATTTTATATACATTCATATTTACTATTTTCCTTGTTTTTAATTTTCATAACTTTTAGAAAGAAATAGTTATGGATAGAGACTGTGGATCAGATTGGCTGGCTGACCATATTTGTACTAAAAAAGAGCACAAGGCAAAGAAAAAATCCGTTTTTTACTATTATTTAGGTTAACATCAATGATTTATTATTTATTAATGTACATATAATATTCATTTAATAGTTAATTGTACTACTACTACATTTTATTTAAATGGTACATAACACTTCCGTTTGGGGTTTGGTTTATAGTAACTATATAAACATATCTACATTTTAGTTTTATATGATTATGCTATTCATTTTAACATATTTTTTATTTTTTTTTTATTATTCCTGCAGAATTAAAAAAGTTAAAATATGGTACAGGTGTACGACTAAAATATATTATAATTTTAGGACCACGACATTAAAATTATAAATGTATACCTATAAAAAAAACTTATTTCAAAATTAAGGGGACTGAAAGCGGTCTGTTTTTTCGACGTTTAAGACCAACATGGAAACGGATTTTCTACTTTTTTATGTAAACATTTTTTTTTGTAATATTGCAAATTTGTTTAATTACAAGAAACTTAATTTTTAAATAAAAATCGGTTTTCTACATAACTTAATAAATATTCAAAGAACTAGATCTCTTTACAGAATTTAAATCAGACGATCTAATGTAGCTGTAGTTTTAACAGGCTTTAGGCCTAAAATACCACCAAACTTTACTAATGAAAAAACTGTACACGTTAAAAATAATACTATGAAGATTATACAAAGTAATTTGTTAATAAATTCACATGGTCGAAATTTATGAAAAACCTTTTTTGTTAAATAATGCCTATACAGAACTCCTTAAAACCTGTCTGCTCTCAATACTCTTGAAGTTGCGAGAGTTTATCCCGCATATTGCTTTTTTAGTATAATTTTTAACAAACCAATTTTTTCAATAACTTTAAAAATTGCTTTAATAAACATTAAGCAGATATACATACATTGAAATATTTTACTTCCAATTATTGCTCCATTCGTATACAATTAGCCTACTTTTAGTTAAAAATATAAAATGATTTATTTGTTGATAATATATTATGAGGAGACAATGTATCAAATATGATAAGGTACTTTCGGCTACAGAGTACAGAAATAATAGTAAGTACTTAAACCAATACCACTTGGAAATAATATTTTAGATTTTAACTAGAATTATAATAGGTAATTGGAGAAATTGTAATTTTTAAAATTAAATATTGCGGATATGTATTGCACTGTGCACAATACATATCCGCAATGTTCAACAACACAGTTTTAATCTAATAATAATAATAATCTAACTTTCCTCAAAATTCCAACAAAAAGGATAGGCTACATTTTTGTTCAACGGGAAAATATATGAAAAGATTTCAAATCTATTAAAGTTGATCCTAGGACCGACATAACTCCGCACATTCTTCTTTTGTATCCAACAAAAAATGTATATTTTTTATCTATTTTATTTTATTTATTTTTTTTTATTTATCTTTTTTTAATCTTATCCTATTTAATATAATTAGTAGTACATATATAATAAATATGAAAACTGTAAATCCTGCATTTAAAAAAATAACTTTACCTTTTCATGAATATAACATGCAGAATATCATGTTAAATAATAATAATTTATAGATACATGTAGCTAAAGCTATAAATACATTGTTTTTTTTAGTTTATTTTTATTCTACTATTTTGTTTTTTTTTTTATTTAGAAAATATTTAAATTTATTATTTATTAGTAGATGTTACAATTGGTTGGGACTTGGGCCCTTGTGTATATTTTCCGTTTTTTCGACTTTACTATGAAATTTTACCTGTTTTGAAAACCCACACATTTTATGTAAAATTATCTTTCTGAAAAAAAAATTTTGGGCAACACTAAAGACCAACTTTTTATAATATAAACTCAATTCTAATGAGTTTCTGTTACTCAAAAAAATAAATCAATATTTTTTTCAGAAAGCTGAGATTATTTTACGTAAAAAAGAAGTGTCAATAAAAATAACTAGAAATACTTTTTACGACCATAGCCAAAATAATAAAAACAAATTTGAGAACATTCTTTTCATCGTAACAGACATGCAGTGTAATTTTCAAAAAAATCCGAGGGGGGTTTACTCCAAACTTTTGTTCGTATTTGGCGTGACGACCCATGTATACATTAGAATTTGAATTAGACGTCATAATCATATTTTAAAAATATTTGTTTTGCCTATCACTTAATACATACAGCCATTTATTTTCTAGGGTGGGGCTGTAATTGATTCTACTATCCAACCCCTCAAAAGTCAAAATGTAAGTTTTAGTTAAACAAATGCATCAAAGAAGATAAAGTGTCACTTTTTTTGGCTATTGAACTCTTTTAGACTAAAAAGAATTTTGTTATTTTTTTTTATTTCGGAAGAAATAGATTAGTAAAAAATAAATTTTTTTAAGCCTCTGCTACAAAATATGTCAGATAAGGGGTCGGACCGACAAGATACATTTACCAGATCAGATGAAGTAACAGGTCGTATGTATGTTAAATATGCCAAAATGATCATCTGGTATCAATACCGAATACGTCATACTCTGAAGTCCAGGTCAACGATCGCCATCGAGAATATCTATGGAAAAATGAGATATATTGAAGTCGATTAATCCAACATTCACTTACGACGTAGAAGATATAGTATGTCTTATACATATATAAAGACAGATTAAATGAATAAATCGATCCAGTGTTAAGGCACACACACAAATTATAATAATTAATGTAACACATTATTGTAAACCCAATACCTATATTTTCAGCTAAACAACGAAGCTAAAATACAGGAATCGAAATGGTAAAACTGAAAACGGACACGGTATTTTCTTAGCATTTACATTTGCAGATTCGCTCATTCTGATCGTACTGCACGAGGACTTATATCACTCGTGGAGTCGTTTATTAGTATTATAAACTTTATAGGATGATCAATAGACAAGCTTGGAAACACTGTTCGTTATTCTGTCGGTAGAATATTATAACCCGTGAAAATCAGTTTCTTTATAATTAAACATCTAGATCTGATATAACAAATTACAAATTAGATTATATTGAAACTTAAATATTAATAGATAATGTCGAATATATAATATTCAAAATTCTATTTACAAATAAGTAGTATTATCTCAAATAACTAAGTTTACGGACAGACAGGGGCTACAAATAACAATCATGTATAACTATATACATATTTACCTAGGTGCACGTTTCAAGAACTAGTTTATACCAATATTAATACATTTTTTTTGTTGAATAATTGTAACTAAAGAATTTATCCATTATCCAATAAAGTTTAAACTCCTATTAATAGTTTTCCAAATGGGTTGAATGTTTCTTAGTAATTATAACACCATTTTTTTACGGCAACGAGATTAGGGCTGCGTTTCTGAGTTGAGTTTCTTACAAATACTTGTGGTATATATAGATTCGTTGATATGGAGCTAAATAATAAAATAAATATTGCTTTTAAAATTGTAATTTTTGGTGATAAACAAAGTTCATTAGATAGGTACCTACTAGTGGAAATGGAAGACGGAATTACCAAGTACAGTACGTAATTTTCATATAACCCGAATGTGATAATCGTACGTGACGTGCTTATAAGAAAACAATTTACATATTATTTATCGAGGTTATAACTCGTATTTGACACTTAGAGTTCATAGGGTCTTTCCATCATAAAAATAAAATCTATGTGTAAAATACTAATGATATTGTGTATCAAGTAATTATACAAACCATGAAATCTGTTAATAATTGTATTTTTGTGGAGATAACTGGTAATTTCACATCTCTAATTAGCGATGATAATAATCGTATACTACAATATATTGATATTTACTCGAATCATTAAAAGGCATACATAAAACATATTATACATCAAATTATTATCATGAAGGCGCCAGGCAGTACATAAGGTACTTTCATCTGAAAGTTGACACATGTTATTGATAGAATTTTAAAAACCGTATAATTTTGAAAAACTTTTTTTAGGTAGTAACTTAATTTGTTTTCGAGTTACTGAATTACAATAATTTTTCTTAAACTAAAACACTGATCAAGTTGGCAGTGTTTATATTACCTACTGTTTATAAAACTGTAGAGAAATAATTTTTATTTATAATAGAGCGCTTATGCTAACAATACAATAATTATGTATAATAATGCTAATAATATTATACTACCTACGTTAATTACCATAATCTTAGTGACCGGCAACAAATAATTCGGGAAAACCTTGGAACTTTAATATTAAAAGTACACGCGCGTTTAACAAATTATATTTTAAACGACACGTATATTTCATCGCATATGTTTATTATTATAAATTATAATATAATATATGTAATGTAATAATATTCATACACTGAATTCGTGATTATTTCTTGGAATTTACGGTATATGTGTATACGCAGAATGGAGTAAAGCGACATAGAAAGGGAAATACCATGACGTTTACGTCTTGGATCCTGAAAATTAATAAATTCCCGTTGTTTCCTAACAAAATGAGTATCGAGGCGGATAAAATGATATTAATAATAATGGCAATAATAATAATAATGCCGTCATGTATGTCTAGTGTCCGCACTCCGCAACAACGATGTTACACATTTTGTACAGAGTTCTAGTTATTATTTCTTTATATTATTATAAATGAGAATGCCAATATGCTATCGTTCGTCCTACGGCCGTAGCATGTGTTCGTCATACTCATGTATACCTATGTATACATGTGTATATATATATTTTTTTTTTTGTGTATTTCAGCAAAATAATAATACATAAATGGGTATATATATATATATATATTATATTATATTGAAGAATCTACAATAAAGAACCAGAACGCCGAGGACGGTGGCGGGAGGACGGACGCGGCGATACGGATCATCACAATGTAATTCCGTGAAATAGAATTCTCTCCCACCACCGACACCGGTCGTCGCCGCCGAATGGTACCAAAAATGTATTATTTCTTTCTTTCTTCTTTTTTTGCCCATTCTGCGTGCCGACTACAGTGTGTAAACAAACCCGCGCCGAACTTTCCAAACGTGTACACAGTGTGACCACCCCCGTACGGTAATTCCCCGAGGCGCCCTCACTGCCGGCCGGGTTTTCAAAAAGTTATTGTATTTTTCCCCTCATCAACGCGCACACACACTAATTAACACCGTTCATTAATAAAAACAGCAAGCCGAACAACGACCGGACACAGACACGGACACTTGACGCTTTGCCGTCCCCGACATCGCCGTTATCGCCGTCAAACGCGGGCCGGTCTAAAAAAATTACCGTGCAAACTTTCAAAGTTGGCACTGCCGAAAAAACTTTATTGTCTATTTTGTTGTTGTTGTCCTTTTTTATTACTTCTTTTTCCCGTCGTCAGTTCGCGCACATAATTTTGGTAATGCGAGTGCGATGGTATGTTTGAATTTCGTTACGCCGCGTTTTAGTGTGAAAATTTCTCTTTGTCCCATAGCGCTGCTTTCGCCGTTGAAACGGGACCGTCGTCGCTGTAGCCGCTGTTGATGCTTTTGCTGCTCTGTCCATCGATAATTATTATCGGGACACCACACGCTCGGCGTTAGTGTGTTTTTGTGCGTGATTTTTAATTTTTTTTTTCGGTTTTTTTTTTACACGCGTTGGCTGGTGTGTGTAATACAACTCGTTTTACCACCCGTGTCCGTGCTGGGTGCACACATTTTCAGATAGGAACGACCTGCACGTTATGGAACAGCAACAACAGCAGCAACAGTTCTGCTTGCGATGGAACAACCATCAGAACACGTTGATATCGGTGTTCGACAGTTTGCTGGAGAGCGGCTCGTTGGTGGATTGCGCCCTGGCCGCCGAGGGACAATGCATGAACGCGCACAAAGTAGTGCTTTCGGCTTGTAGTCCTTATTTTGCCGTAAGTATAAATTGATAATCATAAAATATCTAACATCGCAATTATATGCGGTGCGCGGCGACCACGTTGTTTTGGCCTATGCCGACACCGCCACCGCTATTCGTTGGCCGTTCCATATGTTTCAGCCGTCGATCGACGATCACATTTTTACCACGGCACCTGTTGAATGCTAAACGTACGGCGCATGTCCCTCAAACCCTTGTATGCGCAATACGTAAAAAGTTGAACTCTACAATAACTTATATTTTCATCCCTGAATTTAAATCTACCATGAATTCATATACGGGTTACTATTTTTAATTTCGAATGTTGTAAATGTCTATTGTGATTTCACATGATTTTTATCGTAGATCATTGCCACTGTTCCAGAGGATAACTACCTAGTGCACTTCAGTTACTTTTGTACTGTGCTATTTTGCTGTCTTTTTTCAGATCAATCATGTATTTTCTGTGATTTAAACTAGTTTTAACTTGCATAATGTTATTGTAATTTATTCAATTTTACAGTAAAAAAATAATTCAACTATGACACCATCGGTTGTAGTTGTCATTTAATTGTTAAAATAATTTTTAATAGACATAACAAAGTAGGTATAATGTGTATTTTCAAATTTAATTTATAATGACCAACATTTTTTTCCTTTAAATTGTCATACATAACCTAGAAAACATATATTATCTGAATTCAATATATTTACATAAGACATCACATAAAACCTGTTGTCTCAAGAATAAAGTATGTGAGGTTAGAGCTATTAACAAAATGTAATGTGTTCAACTAGGTAATATATTTTTCATTATGGAATCTATTTTATTAAATTTGAAATTGTAATTGGTACTAATAGTATTTATCTGCAATTGGTAAATAGCAAGGTTCGACAGTCTTTAAAGCTTAAAATAACAAAATTACATGTTATTTATTAAAATATATTAATTCATATAAACTATATAATATACAAAAACACCACTAATTTACAAGTTGAGTTAAATTTAATATATGAAAAACTATGACATTTTATAATAATTGTAAGCTGAGCTGCGGCTAAGTGGCTAGGAACAAATGTTTTGTTACATAAAGCACAGTTTTACTCCTGGTTACTCATGATGTTTTTTGTTATTGATAATAGATCTTTGTAATGTGCCAGCTAAAATTATTTTAATCGCTGCAATGTTTGGTTAACTAGGCTTTTCCAATATATCAAAAATAATGTTTGGCTTCTAATATGCGAGGTATCGTCCAGGTCTAGTGATCCAAACTAAGCAGGAACGGCGGCTAAGATGATGTCGCTGATTTTTTTAATAATTTAAAAAAATCAGTGACAAAAACTGTAATCAGTTTTTGTCATGGAATTTTTTTGTGTTACTTATTTAATTTACAATGAAGTCATATACGAAAAATGTTTCAATTAGTTACTAGTATTATGGTTGAAAACTTAGTTTAAACTATTCTTATTATACTTATTGGTTTTATAAAAATCAAGCTTTACATTTTATTTTGTATTTGGTGTATTAAAATAAAAAGCTGATTTTTAAAGACAGTTCTATTAAATTGTTTTTACTTTTAACTGTCAATTATTTTTTGTTAAGGAACATTCTTAGGATGGTTTTGTTGGTAGGTTTAAATGTGTTGTGCTTGTATAATTTCTTTAACTAAATATCAAATTAACTAGGTTTATCATATTAAATTTGCTTTTATTACTCATTAAGTTGATATGGTTTTTTTCAAGATAAGATTACTTTCGAGAGCAAAGCAATATATCTGTTTCATTTAATAACTTAAAATAACTCATAAATCAAAGTAAATAATTAGAAAGAGTTTAACTATATTCATTATTAATACATCTATATATTTAAAGAACAGTTATTTTATTGTAGTAGTATTATTTTGAATAATTTTTAGTTAATGGTTAAAAGGTAGACTAAATAACTACCTCTATAAAAACATTTCAAAAATGTAAATATAATATATTTGTATAACACATTTATTATATATATGAATATTGAATAAATTATGTATATATCTGTAACAACTGTAAATAAGTGTGTAAGTTGAATTTTGGTCAAAATTGACTAAGTATGCTAGGATGTAGACTGAGGCATCTAGCACACCTTGAATAAACATCTAATTCCTTGGACCAACAAGAAAACCTTGATAGAGATTTGAGTTATTGGCTAAGTAGGGATTTATGGCAGCTGGTCAAAGTTTAAAATCGCTCCCCAGTAAAGTCATTGAAATCGACTTACATACTTATTCACAGTTGTTACATATATATTGTGTTTTTTAACATTACTATATTGTAGTAACTCGTACAATATTAATTTTGGCTGTGAAAAAATGACATATTTATGTATAATTTTATTATGGTTAGTTTTATCTGTATGTAGATCATTAATGTATGACCAAATAGCTGCATTGAGATTTTGAGGCCATTTTTAGAAAAACATATATCCTCCTTTTTACCCAAAAAGAAGAATTAAGTGTAATTTGAAATAATAAATATATTCTCTAGTTTTGATGTCTATAATGTATGATCTGGGTCTGTATGAATGTATGTTTTAAAGAATGACTATTTAAATACTAAGACTTCCTAAACGCTGCTAATATTGCTCTAGATCGACTGAATAATTTTAATCTTCATTTTTTTGTATAGACAAAATTAACATTTTTTTTTTATACAGGTTAATTATAACCTATTTTCTATTTATGTTTTAATCTGAATCAAACTGAATCTGACTCAAAGTACTTACCTAAACTTAACTTAAACAAGTCATTAACATTGCTAATATCATTTTTTTTATGAATTCCAGTTTATCAGTTATGACTTACGATTTGGGTGTAGAATATCTGTTTTACAAAATAAACAAATGTCATTCTCAATCGAATGAATCATTATTGTTGTTATTTTCATTTTTTTTAAACAAATGAGTTCATAATTTACGGTTTTTATTGATTTCCTAGAGTATCATTTGTATTTAATAATTATTGTTAGTTTAAAAGCGGAAAATTAGAACATACACTTTTGATAGGTGTGCAGATAATTTTGTTGGGTGTGTGTATAGTTTTCAGATATTTTATGTTACATTATAGTCTAGTGTTCATTATGTTATTAAAATAATACTTATGAATAACATAATTAATCTGATATTGTACAGAAATTTAAAGCTATGACTATAAACATGTATCATATCCATTCTGTTAAGTAAATTTTCTTATAAAGTACACCTAATATTAAATTATTAGGAACTGTATCAAAATATAATAATTTATTCATTGATAGTTAAGCTTTAATTTGTTTTGGAAATGTATAGGAAAACATTTATGCTGATATAAAATCATTTTTAAATAAACATTAGATGTGATGACAGTAACTTATAAAATTTATTTAATTCTTAAAATGTTGATAGTTTTAATATGTAACATCATTATTAATAATAAAATTGATATTAACTAAATATATGAATAACCTGAAAGCCATTACATAATTTATATTTAGCGTCTTCAGTCTTCGTGTTAATACCACCTTTCTACTTTTTCCATTCACTGATTTTGATACACTTCACTTAAAGTTAAGCCTACTTAGAGTATACCTACTTTACTGTCAATTATTGAAACAACTGGGTACATTGTATATTGTTGTCTAGTTTTTATGCGAGTAAACCAAAATATTACCAGTGATAAGGAGTTTTTAATTTACCTGATTTATATAAATATTTGCACTGGTCTATTAAATAAATATTTGTAATTGTATGTAGATACATTTGTTATTATAATAAAATATTTTAGTATAAGTTTATGATTTATACTCTTATTGATATATAAATAAGAAAATAATATGTAAAGAATATAATATTATAATCATGCATATTATTTGATGTATAATAAGTTTGTGTATTGGCTGTTTGTTGAGACATCAGCTTGTATTTTAATATTTTATAGTTCCGGTTGGCTATTAAGTGGTGTATGCCACTATTCAGACAGCTGTCTGATACACTTTGTCAACTTGACCTCTTTTATAGGATATCTCTAGTAAACTATATGAATTACTATTTAATAATAGCCTACCTACTGTGTTAGGCTTCAATAAATAAATGTCAGATAACTTTATTGCTTGACCACTTTATCTACACATTTAAATTATGCTAAGGTACTTTTAAAACAATTAAATTTATTATCATGTTGAAACCAAATTATGTAGGTACTTTTGTCATTAAAATTATTCTGAGAATATATTTATTGTATTGTCATTCACTACACATATAACCAGTAGCGCACTTGAATCTGACAATCTTGTTTCGTGGTATTTTTCTAATTCGCAGTTATTGTTATTTATTTAACCTGTAATGTTTATCCGAAACATTTTTTTGTTTCATTTAACATTCAGTGTGTTGTAGAAACTACATTAACTATATTCAGCTTATCCATTGTAGCTTTAGATTTCATCATTTAATAGTCTAAATGTTTTGATTTTGTTATCTTTAAATAATTATTGAGAACAATTATTTGCATTATAATATGTTTATGGTGATAAATACTGGTTAAAATAGCTATAGTTGTAATTTTAGAAGTATTCATTTGTGGTAGATAAGGTCTTGTTTTTGTACTTAAAAATATAAAAAAATAAAACAATATTTTGCATTATCAATACAAAATAGTCTTAATTCAAAATTTCCAATTTTTGAGAAAAAGTAAAAGTTATTATGAAGCTTAGTATTTGTAAGTTCACAATATGTAATACTGTAGTAATATTGGCCTTTTAAAATAGTCAAAATAATATGACGAAACCATATTTTTTAGTTGTAGCCTTATATGTTAGTAGATTGATTTCTTCAGCGATACTAAAATGTTTCACTATAAAATATATATATATATATATTTGTTAAACTCAAAACATTTATTAATATAAAATGATGTTTTTTTTTTTTTATAGCCTTTATTATAAATTTAACAGCTCAATAAAATGATGTTGCAAAAGAGTAATCATTTTCACCATCATGTTAATAATTATTTAAGATATTATTTATTTATATAATTGTATTTTATTTAAAAATGATTGGCAATTGTTGATAAATTATAAGTGTTTTGTCAAACTATGTATAGTACACTTGAAAAAAGTTTTATCTAAATATTTTTTAAACCATAGTGTAAGGAGGTTATGATTTTTAACGAATTTATTACCCGAATATTAAGAAATTAAAGCCTTAGTATTTTAAAAATAGAATGTTATTTGTAGTAGCCTATTATTGATCTACTTTAGGTTTTTTTTCATTTAAAATATAGTGATATTCACTGGTTCTTCATTATTATTATATTTAAATTAATATATAAACTAAAAGATTATCGAATGTTTGATTTTAGATGCTGTTAAATCAACATTATGACAAGTATCCAGTACTTATATTAAAAGATGTGACTTACCAAGAACTGAGGTCCATGATGGATTACATGTATCGAGGTGAAGTGAACATAACTCAAGAACAACTTGGGTCATTTCTTAAGGCGGCCGAATCTTTACAAATTAAAGGACTGACAGAGAGTAGTGGGCGATCTGAAAGAAAAACAGATGCACGTAAGAGTATTACTAGAAATAGTTCACCAGGTTTGGTCAAGAAGTCTGTGACACCTAAAGTCGTTGAAAATACATTCGACCCTTCAATAACCGTACCTCCATTACCACCTGTTGTAGCAACTATACCAAATACAAAAAGACGTAAATTAGTACAACCAGTGAAAAATTTCAGTAGTCTGGTCGTTTCGCCAGTAAATCCAAGTCGTACAAATGCAAATAATTTAGATGTAAACAATACACCCAATCATACAGCACCTAGCTTAGCCGGCGAAGGAAAAGCAAACATACCCTCTCCACCAATCATTCCTAAACCCGTGGTAGAGTCTGCAAGCTTAAAACTCGAAGAAGAAAAATCTGACTCTAATGGCTTAGTTATAGAAGAAAAAGATGAAAATAATTATTGGCCTTCTAGCGGTTCGCTAAGTGAGGTCAAACGTGAAAAAACAGATACTGAAGAAGAAGCCAGTGAGAGCGATAACAATGTTCAAAACGATCTATGCACGACAAGCACGACTGTTTGTACAATGACACAACAAATTAATATGAATAATTTTCGTCCTGAAGAAGGTAAATTAAATATGTATATATACTTAATATTATATTCCTCGGGACAAAAAAAAATGTTCCTGATTTTTCCAGATTTGTTTAATGACAGGTCTTTAAACCCGTTGTGTCTGATGGTAAGCACGGCTATTTTCTATTTTAGCCACCAATTGTTTAATTATATTTTTTAAATCCTCTATATTATTTATACCTTATGCAAACACAGGGTATGTTTCTAAAGAAAAAAAAATATACATTCTGAAACAAAATATTTAAAAAATGGACATGGAAAAAATATATACATGAGCAGGCAGCACTCACTTTATCAAAACAGTTAAAAACATAGATCATCAAACTAGGTTTTTTTTGAGATATTCTCAGATATGTTGGTATAAGGTATAGATGATTATATTGAAAATGTACAAATATAATTGGAAAAAAAAATTGATTTTCTTTTTAAATGCCTTAATATATGTATATATTATTTAAAGCTGTAAAGATTCATAATATAGTGTAAGATATAGTTACAATAAATTATTTGTTTTTACATAGGAATGGAACTTACAGAATATGGAGGCATGAATATACCACCCAACATGCAAGATCAAGGTAATTGAAATGTTTTAATTTGAACATGATGTATAAAAAGAATAATAATAATATTTTGTTGTAATTTACTTATAGCTTTTCCTTTGGGTTCGTTGTGGTGGAAAAATTTTGAACAGAACTCAAAGTATGTGCGTACCACACAAGCAAATCCATTCAGCTGCCAACACTGTGGAAAAAGATATCGATGGAAGAGCACACTAAAACGTCATGAAGTGTTTGAATGTGGTGGCAAAGAGCCTGTTCATCGTTGTCCTCATTGTGAATATCGCGCCAAGCAAAGTGGTAATCTCAGGGTGCATATCCGAAAGTATCACACAGCGTTAGAATAAGTTCCTAGATGCGTCACAACATCCAATGTGAAAGTTTCAGAAGCCAATAAGCTCTCTAACTTTTTTTATTTTAATTTTTTTTTATTATTATTATTATTTTTAACAAAATTCATATTTGCTCATTGTTGTGATTTCATGGAAACTTCATCGATCAGGGTTCAGTATTAGCTTCCAATTTATTAAATGAAATTAATTAATAATTTTCCTAACTTGTTTGAACAATTATTTTAAGGCTCAATAATTTGAATTTTTCGTTAAAATAACATTACAATTGACATTTTTTTTTTCATTGTGTGTTGGGTGTTCAAAACGTTACAAACATCTTGAGACTAAAATTGTTTCCTAGACATGGAATTACACATACATTTTCTCATTGTATGATCATACAATTCAGACAATTTTGTGTTATTAATGATGTTATTTGCATGTGACGATATGTTAAGGTTTTTTTTTTAATTGTAGGACAGTGAGCGTATTATTTTATATAATATTATTATTATGTATACAGTATTTAAGGATTAACCGCTACACTTGTTCCTAAAAAGTAAAATTAATGAAAATGATATAATATGTTGAATATAACTTATACGTATAAGTTTTCTTTAGTATTAATTATTTTATTCATTTTAGTACTTAAGTAATTATTGTGTATGAAATTATTTCTTACGCATTTCCAAGCTCATGATATGTTCAATGCTATGTGATAAAACATTGTTTTTTCTTTTATTTGACAATTTTTTTTTCAACGGGTATACCTCACTGTGAGCTTCCAAAGTGCCTTAAACTTGTGATTATTAAATTTATACTTAAAAAACTATTCAGTTTACTCTTACGTTCAATGAAATAAAATACAAAATAATAAATAGCATATATATATTTATATATTTTTTATAATATAGCTAATGTCTTCCAAATAATTGTTGAATTTTCATATTCATAATTTGTTTTTTTTGTTTGTTTGTATGCTTTGTTATGTGTTAGATTTATGTATGTACGATGGGCCAAGCTTGCATGTTAAGCCATTGTAATTTTTGTCGGAATAAAATCCCACTTTCTACTTACCTTTTTTAATATTTCCGTGAACAAAATAGTACAACTACATAATTATAGGCTAGTATTTATGAGTTTGCTCACCGAGTATATATCGAATGATACATATCGACTGTTTTTTTTTACGGGTCTTCAATTAATACACCTATATATTATAAATGTTTACTTGTATAAAAATGAACATTATTTTTATCCATGACAATATAATATATATTTTTATTATATACATTATCTGACTGATATAGATCTGACTATTTTACATTGATTATTATTGTATTTTCGTGTTAACAAAGGGCATTTTCCTCAATTTATAATATTATATTATTATTATTATTATTATTATTATTATTATTATTATTATTATAATTATACAAACTACCACCTTAAAATATTGTTTATATCATAGTTTTGTATACGTCTATTTTATGATGAATGTTTTTTTACGGTATACAGGTTAGGAATATGGTAAGTGCCCTATTTTTTTTTATACATTTTATATGATTTATACTTAAGACTAATTTTGTTAACTATTAATTTTGTATTATTAAGTATTTGTGTTGGATTTATAATATTATTGCTTTTTTTATGAATCGATTATCATTTTTTTTTTTAGGTATCTACTTATTTAATTTTGCTAAAATAAAACATGTAAAAATACCTATAAAAACAGTTTATCGTCTATTATCACAAGCCGATTCCTTCTCCAATAATCATGGTTTTGAATGTATGTGAGGCCAGACGAATATCTGATATTAGTTTTGTCTGGCGTATCCCACGAGAGAGAAAATAGATACGTTGGCTTTTCTATAGTGATGAAGATTCCAAACTATAAATAACGTGACGGTAGTAGATGATGAAAACATCAATTTGTACGGTTTTACAGGATATTTACGATTTCACTTGTGTTTTAAGTGATATCTGAAAGGAAAGCTTATAGCTTCGACTAGGTAGGTTATTTTCCCCAACCGTAACCAATCGCAATTGTTCACGGTCAGACTATTATTATGAGTCGAAAACGTATTGTAAAAAAAAAAGAAAAATAGTACAATGATTTCGAAAATTGAATTGATAGTAAAATTAGGAAGTTCTCGTGAATTCGGAGTGAATTATAAATGGTATATTGTTTTCGTGAACAATGTCTGAAATCTTTTTCTGGAAGTTCAGTAACGTGTTTCAGTTAAATATTTCTACGCCATTAGAAACACGTACGTGCGCAATATTGCTCGGGTTAATACCCATTTCTCTAAAAAAAAACCTATTGGCTATTCTACAAACATTTTCTAGTCGCCGCAAACTAAACCGTTCCCTTGTGATAAATCGATTATATCTACACGACGGCGCGGCGGTAGCCACTCCAAAATCGGTCGAGTGCGTAAAATCCGTTAAAAATAAAATCTATGTGTTTTAGTTTCGAAGTAAAGCTTTTAGATTTTAATTCAAAATTTAACTGTTCACGGTGTACAATAAAAACTAAAAAGTTTTGGTTTTACATATGGTCTTATATAATGCCAAATTACCCTTCAAGTTCCAAAATTCGATAAACAATTGAATTGGAGTAGCTTTTTTTTAATGATACTGTACGGAGGATTAAGTTACAAGAACATTCGATTAGAGAAAAAAATCCCAAGAATGTATGTAAAAATAATAAAAAATAAATTGTATGGCAGCATTCAACATAATTTCTGTAGAGTAAAGCAGGTGGTTTAGTTTCAGATTTTTCATAACCATAATGTTTGTCCTATACAACTGCCTATAAGTCCGTCGCATACTATTAAATCAGAGAGATAAAAGGGAAAGCGAGGAGAGAAGAGAGTAATAAAATAAAAAAATCAGCCATTTTTCAGCCGAGTCTGCAACCACGATAGAACATTTTCATGTCTCGTTGAAGTACCGAAAAAATTAGAGTAGTGGTGGAATTATAGATAATGAAATAGTATATTAACAAGCGTAACAAGCTAGTACTAAGGTGGCTAAATCAAGTTTCTGATTAAAATTGTAGTGTTTATTATCTGGCCAAAAGTAACTTAACATAGAGAATTAAACTATTTTGAATTTATTATTTAGTTCTAATTTGAACGTTGAATGTACAACATATCTCTTATCTCATATCAGATAACAGCGTAACACTTTTTTGGTAACACTTTTTTTCGGTTATGCACCACAGCTAATTCCCACCCCTAACCCCTCATCTTCATCCCCTTTTATTTTTTGGTAACGCATTTTTCGTTATAATATTTTCGGTTATGTGCCGAATACATTTAGATTAGTTGTGGATTTATTAAAAAAAAGTTTTTCAGCCGAGTCTGCAACCACGAAAGAGCATTTTCATGTCTCGTTGAAGTACCGAATAAATTTAGAGTAGTGGTGGAATTATAGATAATGATATAGTATATTAACGAGCGGTAACAAGCTAGTATAAAAATAAAACGTCAAGTTTCTGGCTAAAATTGTAGTGTTTATTATCTGGCCAAAAGTAACTAAACATAGAGAATTTGGGCCCTTAATTTATTTTGAATTTATCATTTAGTTCTAATTTGAACGTTGAACGTACAAGATATCTCTTATCTCCCACCCCTATCTTCTACCCCCATGTAACGGTTTTGTAACGCTTTTGTAAAGAACGCATTTTTGGTAACGCTTTTGTAACGAACGCTTTTTGACATTTTCATGTCTTAGCTCTGGCACATAACCGAAAATATTATAACGAAAAATGCGTTACCAAAAAATAAAAGGGGATGAAGATGAGGGGTTAGGGGTGGGAATTAGCTGTGGTGCATAACCGAAAAAAAGTGTTACCAAAAAAGTGTTACGCTGTTATCTGATATGAGATAAGAGATATGTTGTACATTCAACGTTCAAATTAGAACTAAATAATAAATTCAAAATAGTTTAATTCTCTATGTTAAGTTACTTTTGGCCAGATAATAAACACTACAATTTTAATCAGAAACTTGATTTAGCCACCTTAGATACTAGCTTGTTACTGCTTGTTAATATACTATTTCATTATCTATAATTCCACCACTACTCTAATTTTTTCGGTACTTCAACGAGACATGAAAATGCTCTTTCGCGGTTGCAGACTCGGCTGAAAAATGGCTAATTTTTGTTATAAGGCCACAAATAGGACGCCTACTTTTTTTTTCTTTATAGGTATTATTTTTATTTATTTTAAAATATTCAATTTAAATTAATTACCTAAAATTAAATACACGATTGAATAGATTCAGTGTTAAATGGGGGTAGTTGTAAGCTAATTGGGAAAATATAAACAACAACTGAACAATGTTTATATTTTATGTTATTATGTAGCATATAATTAAAAGTATGTTAAAATTGAAAAATCATTAATTAAATTATTAAAAAATATCATTTACATTTATGATCTACTCATTTACAATTACTCCAGTTGACCTTAAATAACAGAGTAAGTTTTTTTAATGATCACTTTCACTACATAAGATTTGCGCTACTTCATTCGTTTTATTTAGTATTAATATACATATATACTATGCATATATAATGTTATATATAACTATATATAAATAATAGTTTATAAGTTGCTTAAAGTTTGTTCTAGAAAATTCAAACTTATAATAGCACGTATGCAATATATGTATGCCTATACTTAACTCTTTAGTAAATTATCTATTAGTGTAACGTGATCTAAAAAGGCCTCCCACAATTTTATTTTTGTACCAAAATCTTGTCAATCTAATTCTAATAGAACTTATAAAAGTGGTCTAAGTTAAGATGACGAGGTCAAAATTTGTAAACTGACACTTTAAAAGAAAGTATAAAAAGGAAATGGGGATGATCTCCAATAGGCAATAGCGACGTTATGGTGTAAAAGGAAAAAAAGTAATTAAATTGAAAGAGATAAGGCCGTTATACTTATTGAGCTGGTAGGATGTTATAACAAAAATCTTAACCTTAGATGCGAAAATTATGATTTTTCCTTTATTTTTGAAAGTAGTTTGAAGTGTCAAAACTAAACAGATCTTAAAAATGATTAGTAAGTTCTCTTGGTTCTATTTGGTTTCTTCATCTAAAATAGTTTTTACTATACTTCTAACGCTATCTAGTTTATTAGTTATTAGTTACGATGGTAATATTTCTGTGTATAGGTAGCGGCACTAGTTACGATTTGTGTTTTCGTTATAAATGATAATATAATTTCCCATGTTTTTCACATAATATCAGTTATTATAAGGCTTTTATAATTATCACTATAAACCAGTGCTGTAGCCAAGGATGGAGAGCAACAGGGGCACAGGCCTCCTCTCTTAAAATAAATTGGCTGTACAATTGGAGAGTTCTATTGATTTGATAGATAAAAATACATTTGAAAACGATTTTTGTTGAGATCCTATGACATGGTTTTTGAGCACATTTTTATTAAAATGACCAATTTTTTTGTGCTTCAAAGACTGCAAACATATTTTAATACTTCGTTAAAAATAAGGAGACAAAACCGAATAAAAAATACAAAACCCTGTATTATGATTATAATGATATCTAATTATTTTGAGAAGTTTTTATGGCCAGAAGCGAGTAGGCTAAGTTTTTGTTATCAGTAAAATATATTAAAAACTGGCAAAAAGTAACCGGGATTAACTCAAGGGGGACTTCAATCTCCTCCACACCACTTATACAAATTGTATTCCTTTATATATTTTTTATTGTGCACATTAAATACATTTTTTTTAATTTAAACCAAACATTTTCATGAACAATATCGCACCCCCGTTTAAAAAGTGACACAACTCGAAAAACATGATTTTCGAGGTTATTATAGCATATTTTAAATAATTATCCGTACAGTTTGCTACGAGTTTAGAAATACTGTCCATTTATACATTGAAAATAATATTAGAATAATACTCAGGTTGAACCTAAAAAGACAAACTTTATTCGAGCGTGTGTATCGTGCGTGTATTGGATTGAGTCCGTGTACGACAGGTGCGATATGTTAAATAATGAAAGTCATAAATTACTGTATATTTTTTGTAATTAGGTTTTTTTTTACTTTTCATTT